TTGAATTGAAACATAAAAATTGAGTGCAATAATGTATCTTTTACTAATTTCTTGTACGTTTTTCGTATTTTATTCTTTAAAAGTCAAGAATTCGAAATAATTATTTAGGGTAAGTGGGGATAACCTTTAGTGGACTTAGAGGTTTGGTTGTCATTTGTCATTTTGTTTGCAAGCGAAACTAAGGAACACAGTGACAGTGTAGAATCCGGCGAATTCTTCGAAAATCTCTAATTAAACAAATAAATCAAGGTATATATGTCTTGCAAAGGGTTTAACTATAACAAAATAGTATAAATATACATTTTTGAACATATTTAAACTACAATTTCTTTGTAGTTTTACTAATATTACACGAATAAAAGCAAGTCATCAACGTAACCTTACAAATTTTCATACTGGTTTTCTAAGTTTGTGATCGTTTTTTGAAGATGTTCCTCACCAGAAGCGAATACGACCGTGGTGTAAACACCTTCTCGCCGGAGGGTCGTCTCTTCCAGGTGGAATATGCCATTGAAGCAATTAAACTTGGCTCAACTGCTATTGGAATCAGCACTAATGAGGGAGTTGTTTTGGCTGTGGAGAAGAGAATTACTTCACCACTCATGGAGCCTACCACCATAGAGAAGATTGTTGAGGTTGATAAACACATTGGGTGTGCTGTTTCTGGACTTATGGCTGATTCTAGGACTATGATTGATAGGTATGGATATAATTTAGAATTCAAATTCTGGTTCTTATTGTTTATTTTGCCATTAATTAAAAACTCCAAAGGCATTCCAAACATAATTGAAAATATACAATTAAATGTTTAATAAATTCCAGGGCAAGAGTAGAATGCCAAAATCATTGGTTTGTCTACAATGAGAACATGACAGTGGAATCCTGCGCCCAGGCGGTGTCTAATCTTGCAATCCAATTCGGCGATTCCGACGACGATGGTTCTGCTATGTCTCGTCCCTTCGGTGTTGCTATTCTTTTCGCTGGCGTCGATGAAAAAGGCCCCCAGCTCTATCACATGGACCCATCTGGTACTTTCGTGCAATTCGACGCGAAGGCGATCGGTTCCGGCTCTGAAGGCGCTCAACAAAGTCTGCAAGAAGTTTATCACCGCAGCATGACTCTCAATGAAGCCACCACTTCGGCGCTGACTATTCTAAAGCAAGTCATGGAAGAGAAGTTAAACTCTTCCAATGTGGAAGTCATGACAATGACACCAAAGGATTTGTTTCATATGTTCACTAAGGAGCAGGTCGAAGAAGCACTCACGCAAGTCGCTTCAGTGGAACAATCACGAGGCGACTTGACAAGCACATCTACAACTAAAACAACTGCCTGAATTAAAATACTTGTTGATGCAAGTTACGCATACTTAAGTAAGGTCATATTGTTTGGTTTATATAATATGCATTGTATTTTTTAATAATAATAATAATTTCTTGGTCCACCAACCAGACATTCAAATTAATATTAAAGCGCCAGTTATCAATTAGAATTATTTTATTAAGATATTTCTGGTCACCATACAAAGAAAATTTGTCAAGTTAACTTGAAGGTAAAAGTTGTTTCCAGATTTAAAAAAAAAAACTGAACTACATCTCTACGCTACTTCTAAAACATCACATGGCAACCATCTTGAGCTCTCAAGTGCTCCCCAGAAACTGACATCCTGCTCGATTGTTTCTTTGTTCATCTTTTCGACGTCAAGAGGAATTGTGTGTTCAACCAACTCCAAATCGTTGTCCATCTTTTTCTCCATTTGTACATTTGCTACCATGTGCGAGTTTTCGGTCATTTGCGAAGCATCTCCACCGGCGTTGCTCTGATCATTGTAATAATTCTGCCACGTGGCGTAATTCTGCCAATATGCTGTGGTAGCGTCATAATATTGTGAATAATCTGTACTAGTTGTGGTGGTTGATGTGAAACTGGGAGTAGATGGCGTCTCAGTTGTAGTTGTAGATCCCTTAGGTTTTGGCACAGCATTGCAAATTTTAAGAGCTTTAGTGCCTAAACCTATGTATCCATTCATTGAAATAAGACTGTCCTTTTGTTCCTCCTCACTACCAAACCGGACAAAGCCGTAACCACGACTAAAGCCACTGCTGTCAATTATTACTGTAAATAAAGAAATAATCACGTTAATAATAAAGTTAATATCATATGCTAAAAGAAAACATGTGTTTTAAACGTTGTTTGAATACCTTTTGCAGTTTTAATAGTGTTATATTTAGTTGAAAACACTCTGTACAAATTGTAATCATCCACATCAGGGCTTAGATCTCCAACCCAGACAGAAAATTCACGATCCAGCAAAGATCTTCCTGTGTTACTAGCGTTATTTAAACGAAATCTAACTGAAGGAGTTGTGCCTGGTATGGGCTTGCCATTTAGTTTGTGCATAGCATCAATTGCTTCAGCATCAGTTGCGAAGTGTACAAAACAGTAACCAGCTGGTTCTCCTGTAAACTTGTTCCTCATCACTTTAACATTGAGCGGATTTTCACCCATTTTTCTGAAGGAGTTAATAATGAAAGTCTCTGTCATGTAGGGCTCCAACTAAACACATTAAGGAAACAAATGGTTAATTAATATTAAATGAAGTACTGGTTAATTGGTATTGTTTGTAAGATAGCATTAAATACATACACTGCCCATCCAGAGTTGACAATGCACCATATTCGCCATAATTACTGCTTTGGGTAAGCTTTATCGAAAATATTACAAACAATTTCAAATGCTATAAACCCAACACAAACACAAGAGGGAATACAACTTCTTGGTTATGTGCGTTATGTTTTCAGTTTGTTTTCTGTCGAAAGACAGGGCCCCCATTCAATGAAATATATAGATCTCTGCATATTCTGCAATTGTTAAGCAAAATAATAAATTAATATATTTATGATACCATTTGCATCTTTAGAAACATTGTTTGTAAATCTAAATTTGATTAAATTTACTCATAATAGTATTAACAATGTTTTAAATATAAACAGACTAGCGTCATCTAGGTTTGTGTTGTTGCATTATTTTGAATACATGCTATATACATATTCAGATTGGGAAGTGCACGTAAACTTGCAATACCCAAAATCGCTGTGCGCTGACCTTGCCGTCTTATTTCCGCGCTCTACTAGGTATATCGCACAAGAAGAAGGTCGCATACCATCGATGCGCAGCCAATAGGAACATCTTATGTAATCTTATCATAAGCAGTCGCGTCGCGTGCAAGATCAACAGGTTTGTTCTTTTTAGTAGACTACTTTTAGTTTCGTACCGGTTGCCGGTTAGACGTTTATCCATGTTCGTATAATTCTTAAGCATTTAATTCCACAAATCCGCGATATATTCCATCGATTGTGTGGTTTTTGATTGCTTGTATACAGTGTACCTACCTGTATGCCACGCACACGGCTGCGGTCTTAACAACTAGTGGTGTGCGCCGATTTCGAATTGTGTGTGTTTATCATCGCTAGGAAAGGTATTTGCGCCTGAGTCAGAAACATTAATCTCAACATTGTAGTGACGTACAGTGGCTGTGATGCCATTTTTGTTCCTCTACTTTGACGCTAGACTGGTAAGTTTATTATTCAATTATATTAATTTAAAGTTACCCATCGCGGTATTTGCATGTTCTCTTCTGACTCTGATAGCGCGAGAGTCAATCTTAACGATACGTTATTGCCGTCCCGAAAAATCATGCGCCAAGTGCTTGCAAATTTTGTAATCGGTGACTTGTGGATTCTCAGTCGACTAGAACTCCCAGAAAACAACCCCAAACATCCCCAATATTTCGGTCATTAACCTAACATTAACTTACTACCTTAGTAGGTTCAACCCCTATTTTCTTCCTGCATTAGTAGATTTAAACCCTACTCTCGCCTTGCATTAGTAGATTCTAGTCCTACCCTCTCCCTGCAATAGTAGGTTCAGGTCCTAACTTTTCTTTACGAGAGTAGCGGTAGAAGTGACTCGTGTTCAGAGCACCGTACAAGGGCAGCGGTAGAAGCGACTCGTATTCAGGGCGCCGCATGAGGGTAGCGGTAGAAGTGACTCGTGTTCAAAGCACCGTACAAGGGCAGCGGTAGAAGTGATTCGTGTTCTGGGCACCGTACAAGGGCAGCGGTAGAAGTGATTCGTATTTAGGGCACCGTATGAGGGTAGCGGTAGAAGTGACTCGTGTTCAGGGCACCGTACAAGGGCAGCGGTAGAAGTGACTCGTATTCAGGGTACCGTATGAGGGTAGCGGTAGAAGTGACTCGTGTTCAGGGCACCGTACAAGGGCAGCGGTAGAAGTGACTAGTATTCAGGACACTGTACTAGGACAGCGGTAGAAGTGATTATTATTCAGGGCGCCATACGAGGGTAGCGTATTTTATTGAGTATTTGATGTTGATTAAGAATTTGCGATTCGTTCAGGATATTCGAGATATTCGCAATTGAAATAAATTATGCTACGCGTAATATTTTCGTCTATCGTCGCGCTGTCGCTCATTTTTGTTTCATTCTTATCGCAGGTACAGCGTCTATTGCAATTCGCGCAATAGGTCGCGTGCCATCCACGCGCTGCCGGCTTTGCGCATCTATTGCTTTTATCTGCGGGGTTCAAGCAGTAGGTACATAGTCTTATTGTGAATTGTCGCATCGTAAATTCTATTCAAAGATGGCACTAGCTTTAACTAAATATTATAAAATAGAATTGTATTAGTTTTGAAGGCAGTTCTATTATCAGCGTTTGTGTACTCGTATAAACAACTTTCTTATCGCATTCGCCGTGGGAGATTTTACGCGTAAGATTCTCGTTGCGCTGTCGCATGGGGCACATTATAGTTTAGTTCTTATCACAAGTACCGTGTCTATTGCAATTCGCGCACAAGGTCGTGTGCCATCGACGCGCTGCCGGCTTTGCGCATCTATTGCAATTCGCGCAGAAGGTCGTGTGCCGTCGACACGCCGGCTTTGCGCATATATTGCTTTTTACCTGCGGGGTTCATGCAGCAGGTGCAGAGTATTATTGTGAAATATCGCATCCTTGCGTGCGCAGTTTCGGCATGCTCTATTGATGGATTGCAGCCAGTTTCGTGCCGGTCTCTGACGCATCCAGATGTATTTCGCGCAACGCGTTTCGTTTTATTCGGTCATTACCCGACTAAGTCGTAATATGCATATGCAGTGTTACCTTAATAATTAATTGTGCGTTAAATGTCCCTAAATGTTTTTTTTGCTTGCTTGTGATGTTTATATTTCAAATTACAATGCTGCGGGTTTATTGTCGATTATTGTGTGACGTGGTCGGTCGCTAAATTAACTGGAAACATATTCGTGCTTGAGTGAGTTACTTTTACCTGACCATTGCGATTCTCAGCACAGGAAGTTTGTTTTTCTCCTATGTGTGAATATAATAACATTATCATATTGTATGAAATCTTTTTGTTTTAACTATATGTTTACTTCTAATTACAGTACTTGTCGTGCCCTTGCAATCCGATGAGCGCTGCATTGGTAAGTTTATAATTAAGTTATATTATTCTGTTTAATGTTTTATCACATTTCATCTGCGTGTTGCAATAGCCCGCGAATTAGGGGGGCCGTATATATTTCACTTAATGGTAATATGGAAAACGGATCATATTGCGGAAAACCTTTGTGAATTGTTCAAATGTATCTTCGAATTCTGATAGCGCACTTTTAAACACAATTTCACAACCTTTACACCATTACGAATTTTAATTATTATCTTGTTTTATCCTATAGAGAATTTTCCAAACTTATTTAGATTAACTAGATTAGATTAGGAATTTGAAATCCGTTCTCGTCTGTCTCTTTTAGTTTACGAGATATTCCCAATTGAAATAAATTGTCAAAAATTGAAAAATGTCACTTTTTAGTACTTTTAGTGAGGATTTTTGACCTTTTACTGTTGGAAATATAATTATTTTATATCTTTATCTGATAGAGAATTTTGCAATTTTTCATAATCAGCAATTTGTTGGTTACTATCGCCTTTAGTTTAAGAGATATAAATTATCAAAAATCGTCGAAAAAAAGTATCAAGCACCCCCCCTTGGCAATTTTTTCTTAAGAATTAAAATTTCATCTCTCAGATTTCCGTTTTAACTAACCTATCTGACAGAGATTAGTCTGTAGATTAAGACGCTGCGATCAGATCTTATTTATCTCTTTTAGTTTACGAGATATTCGCGATTGAATAAAATGGGCACAAATTGCAAAATGTCACTTTTTAGCACTTTTAGTCGCGTTTTTCGACCTTTTACTGTAGGAAATATAATTATTTTATATTTTAATCTGATAGAGAATCTTCCAATCTTTCATAATCAACAATTCGTTGGTAGCTATCTCTTTTAGTTTAAGAGATATGAATTTTTGAAAATCGTCGAAAAAAAGTATCAAGCACCCCCCCTTGGCAATTTTTTCTTAAGACTTAAAATTTCATCTCTCAGATTTCCCTTTTAACTATCCTATCTGATAGAGATTGGTCCGTAGATTAAGACGCTGCGATCAGATCTTATTTATCTCTTTTAGTTTACGAGATATTCGCGATTGAATAAAATGGGCAAAAATTGCAAAATGTCACTTTTTAGCACTTTTAGTCGCGTTTTTCGACCTTTTACTGTAGGAAATATAATTATTTTATATTTTAATCTGATAGAGAATCTTCCAATCTTTCATAATCAACAATTCGTTGGCAGCTATCTCTTTTAGTTTAGGAGATAGGAATTTTTGAAAATCGTCGAAAAAAAGTATCAAGCACCCCCCCTTGGCAATTTTTTCTTAAGACTTAAAATTTCATCTCTCAGATTTCCCTTTTAACTATCCTATCTGATAGAGATTGGTCCGTAGATTAAGACGCTGCGATCAGATCTTATTTATCTCTTTTAGTTTACGAGATATTCGCGATTGAATAAAATGGGCAAAAATTGCAAAATGTCACTTTTTAGCACTTTTAGTCGCGTTTTTCGACCTTTTACTGTAGGAAATATAATTATTTTATATTTTTATCTGATAGAGAATCTTCCAATCTTTCATAATCAACAATTCGTTGGTAGCTATCTCTTTTAGTTTAAGAGATATGAATTTTTGAAAATCGTCGAAAAAAAGTATCAAGCACCCCCCCTTGGCAATTTTTTCTTAAGACTTAAAATTTCATCTCTCAGATTTCCCTTTTAACTATCCTATCTGATAGAGATTGGTCCGTAGATTAAGACGCTGCGATCAGATCTTATTTATCTCTTTTAGTTTACGAGATATTCGCGATTGAATAAAATGGGCAAAAATTGCAAAATGTCACTTTTTAGCACTTTTAGTCGCGTTTTTCGACCTTTTACTGTAGGAAATATAATTATTTTATATTTTTATCTGATAGAGAATCTTCCAATCTTTCATAATCAACAATTCGTTGGTAGCTATCTCTTTTAGTTTAAGAGATATGAATTTTTGAAAATCGTCGAAAAAAAGTATCAAGCACCCCCCCTTGGCAATTTTTTCTTAAGACTTAAAATTTCATCTCTCAGATTTCCTTTTAACTATCCTATCTGATAGAGATTGGTCCGTAGATTAAGACGCTGCGATCAGATCTTATTTATCTCTTTTAGTTTACGAGATATTCGCGATTGAATAAAATGGGCAAAAATTGCAAAATGTCACTTTTTAGCACTTTTAGTCGCGTTTTTCGACCTTTTACTGTAGGAAATATAATTATTTTATATTTTTATCTGATAGAGAATCTTCCAATCTTTCATAATCAACAATTCGTTGGTAGCTATCTCTTTTAGTTTAAGAGATATGAATTTTTGAAAATCGTCGAAAAAAAGTATCAAGCACCCCCCCTTGGCAATTTTTTCTTAAGACTTAAAATTTCATCTCTCAGATTTCCTTTTAACTATCCTATCTGATAGAGATTGGTCCGTAGATTAAGACGCTGCGATCAGATCTTATTTATCTCTTTTAGTTTACGAGATATTCGCGATTGAATAAAATGGGCAAAAATTGCAAAATGTCACTTTTTAGCACTTTTAGTCGCGTTTTTCGACCTTTTACTGTAGGAAATATAATTATTTTATATTTTTATCTGATAGAGAATCTTCCAATCTTTCATAATCAACAATTCGTTGGTAGCTATCTCTTTTAGTTTAAGAGATATGAATTTTTGAAAATCGTCGAAAAAAAGTATCAAGCACCCCCCCTTGGCAATTTTTTCTTAAGACTTAAAATTTCATCTCTCAGATTTCCCTTTTAACTATCCTATCTGATAGAGATTGGTCCGTAGATTAAGACGCTGCGATCAGATCTTATTTATCTCTTTTAGTTTACGAGATATTCGCGATTGAATAAAATGGGCAAAAATTGCAAAATGTCACTTTTTAGCACTTTTAGTCGCGTTTTTCGACCTTTTACTGTAGGAAATATAATTATTTTATATTTTTATCTGATAGAGAATCTTCCAATCTTTCATAATCAACAATTCGTTGGTAGCTATCTCTTTTAGTTTAAGAGATATGAATTTTTGAAAATCGTCGAAAAAAAGTATCAAGCACCCCCCCTTGGCAATTTTTTCTTAAGACTTAAAATTTCATCTCTCAGATTTCCCTTTTAACTATCCTATCTGATAGAGATTGGTCCGTAGATTAAGACGCTGCGATCAGATCTTATTTATCTCTTTTAGTTTACGAGATATTCGCGATTGAATAAAATGGGCAAAAATTGCAAAATGTCACTTTTTAGCACTTTTAGTCGCGTTTTTCGACCTTTTACTGTAGGAAATATAATTATTTTATATTTTTATCTGATAGAGAATCTTCCAATCTTTCATAATCAACAATTCGTTGGTAGCTATCTCTTTTAGTTTAAGAGATATGAATTTTTGAAAATCGTCGAAAAAAAGTATCAAGCACCCCCCCTTGGCAATTTTTTCTTAAGACTTAAAATTTCATCTCTCAGATTTCCTTTTAACTATCCTATCTGATAGAGATTGGTCCGTAGATTAAGACGCTGCGATCAGATCTTATTTATCTCTTTTAGTTTACGAGATATTCGCGATTGAATAAAATGGGCAAAAATTGCAAAATGTCACTTTTTAGCACTTTTAGTCGCGTTTTTCGACCTTTTACTGTAGGAAATATAATTATTTTATATTTTTATCTGATAGAGAATCTTCCAATCTTTCATAATCAACAATTCGTTGGTAGCTATCTCTTTTAGTTTAAGAGATATGAATTTTGAAAATCGTCGAAAAAAGTATCAAGCACCCCCTTGGCAATTTTTCTTAAGACTTAAAATTTCATCTCTCAGATTTCCCTTTTAACTATCCTATCTGATAGAGATTGGTCCGTAGATTAAGACGCTGCGATCAGATCTTATTTATCTCTTTTAGTTTACGAGATATTCGCGATTGAATAAAATGGGCAAAAATTGCAAAATGTCACTTTTTAGCACTTTTAGTCGCGTTTTTCGACCTTTTACTGTAGGAAATATAATTATTTTATATTTTTATCTGATAGAGAATCTTCCAATCTTTCATAATCAACAATTCGTTGGTAGCTATCTCTTTTAGTTTAAGAGATATGAATTTTTGTAAATCGTCGAAAAAAAGTATCAAGCACCCCCCCTTGGCAATTTTTTCTTAAGAATTAAAATTTCATCTTTCAGGTTTCCGTTTTAACTAACCTATCTGACAGAGATTGGTCTGCAGATTAAGACGCTGCGATCAGATCTTATTTATCTCTTTTAGTTTGCGAGATATTCGCATTTGAATAAAATTGGCAAAAATTGAAAAATGTCACTTTTTAGCACTTTTAGCCGCATTTTTCGACCTTTTACTCTAGGAAATATAATTAATTTATATTTTTATCTGATAGTGAATTCGGCAACGCGAGTTATATTGAAAGTTGTGTGTGTGAGCCGTATTACTCGTTGCGTTAGAAATTGTAGTTGTTTCTGAATAACACGCGAACGCGGTGTTACAGAAAGATAAAAATAATTTTCCCAGATGCAGAATTTAATTCTGTATCTCCCTGTATTGAAATTTATTGCCAGAAAATTCTGTGGCGCATTTTATACTGAAAGTTGTGTGTGTGCGCCGTATTACTCGTTGCATTAGAAATTGTAGTTTTTCTGAATAACACGCGAACGCAGTGTCACGAAAAGTTCGGAATAAATTTCCCTGATGCAGAATTTAATTTTGTATCTCCCTGTATTGAAATTGGTTGCGAGAAAATGATTTTCCTTGTTTGTCCTTGTCATCTTCTCACGCCATTGCCATTTGCCACATACAGCACATTTTAGTATAGTTTTGATCGCATATATGTAGTGTCAAATGTAAAAAAAATTGCACAGTTGACTATTTAATCGTAATTAGCAACTATAGTAATGTTATTTACTATTTCTGCGTTTAATGTACATTATTGAACAAAAGTGGTGATATTTAATCGTGTTTTGTGTGCATACTTATGCAAGTTGTTTTAACTGTTTTGTTTTTTACAGTATATGCCGTACCTTCTACCGCTACCTTCGTACGGTGCCTTGAATGGGAGTCACTTCTATTTTCTTTATGGATCCTGTAAGTAAAATTAATTTAATTTATGTATATGTATATTTCATTTACTTAAATATTTTCCAGTTGTTGGATGAAGCATTGGCTAATCCTGAGATGATCAAGTTTATCAATAAGTACCAACTGGAGAGGTTCCGTGGTACTGGTGGAGTGCGTATTGAGGATGATGTTTTGATTACTGAAGATGGATCTGTCAACTGGACTTGAGTTCCAAGAACGTATGTAATATTTTGGCAATTTATAATATTTTATATTTTACTATTCTGTTATTCATTCTGATTTATAGTGTCCCAGAAATTGAAGATTGGATTGCCGGTGTTGATAATGATCCCAAATACGATTGAATGAATTTACAACATTTTGAAGCTGATACTGATATCATTTTTGTTTATTTTGTTAAAAGGTATAAAAAGAGCATTAAATAATTGCATATTATTATCCTGTTTTCATGCATGTATTGTTAAAAATGCTGTATATATTGAGAAATTGAGTTTGTGATTCTACATGTATGAATAAAATTGTAGTTTAATATTTTTAACTATAAGTTTTTATTGTTTTATTTGTCCCAAACGGAGAATATAACTCGCAACATCGTTACTCCTTTAATTAATCCATAAATCCCTTCAACTTTAATGGAAATGACACTGGTAGATATGGGAAATAGTTCAAAATCAATTTTATATTGTATCAATATTAATTTAAAAACGGTATCACTAGTGTCATCTATCCATGAGTAACTAAACTACGCCGCTATTAGAAATTATCTGCCTACTGCACTTTCTGCGATCCTAATATTCAAAAGAATTTTGTGTATAATTTCACTGGAATTTCTCGACAAAATTTTTTGTGCCATTTTTGTTGTTTTTTAATAAGGATGCCATCTTGTCCAGAATTCTTCAAGGATCAGGAATATGTGGTTCTTTTTTTTCTAGCCCTTCTAGTTATCGAGAAAATTACCATTTAATCTTCATAAATTAGACTATTCCGACGGGATACACGTGTTTTATTATAATTGCAAATAAGGCCTAAACGGTTATTGCTAGCAAAAAACTTTACTAAAATAATCGATGTAGAATTAAACTATGTATCAGCAGCCTCAAACAGAATTTCAAAATTCCAACTTTTAATTTTCTACATAAAAAAGATAAATCTTTTGCATTTTTTATAACAAAATCTTTTCTTAAAAAATTTTTTGTGCCATTTTTGTTGTTTTTCAATAAGGATGCCATTTTGTCCAGAATACTTCGAGGATCAAGAATATGTAGTTCTTTTTTCTCTATCCCTTTTTGTTTAGCTTACAGAAGTTGCACTTGCTGAAAAAAGATTTTTAAACATTAATTTTACCCGCCATTACTAGTTACCGCCTCCTTCATTTACCTCCTCTCGCTTTCTGCGATCCGAATAACAAAACCTGAGTTTCGACTGTTTCGAGTCCAAATTTTGAGAGTCGACAAAATAAAGATTGAATATTAGGATCGCAGAAAGTTGAGGAGGCTGATAAAGTTTTCGCGGCAACTAGTAATGTGCTGCCTCTAGTGGCGACGAGCCGAAGTTTATATTTGAAATTGTTGTAGTTTCCAATAAATAGAGGGCGCTAGCATGCACTTTTCATAATAAGTGATTTAAGGAATCGGTAAATATGTGATCGGGTTGAAATAACAGCAATAATTATAATCAAAAAAACTTAAAAAATATTTTTTATTAAAGAAAACACACAAGCATACATTTTTGGTAGTCAATTTATGTAATAATCACAAAAGTTATTTTAGATAATAATAAAGAAATTTAATATTTACAATAAAATGCAAGAAAGGTCCTTTTACGATGTCAGACTCAGGCGCAAAATCCCTAAAACAAGCAAAAATTAGTCCTTCGAACATAAAAATGCAATTTTGGGGGTTAATTTGTGAGATAATTACAAAAGTTATTTGGGAAAATGATAAAGAAATTAAATACTTACAATCTGATGCACGAATGGTTCTTCTACGATGTCAGACTCAGGCGCAAAATCCCTAAAACAAACAAAAATTAGTCCTTCGAACATAAAAATGCAATTTTCAGGGTTAATTTGTGAGATAATTACAAAAGTTATGTGTGAAAATGATAAAGAAATTAAATACTTACAATCTGATGCAAGAATGGTTCTTCTATGATGTCAGACTCAGGTGCAAAATCCCTAAAACAAGCTAAAATTAGTCCTTCGAACATAAAAATACAATTTTCGGGATTAACTTGTGAGATAATTACAAAAGTTATGTGTGAAAATGATAAAGAAATTAAATACTTAAATACTTATAATTTTATGTAAATTGTTATTTTAAAGACAAAATATGCTTCAAACAAGAGTTATCTACTTTTTTGTTTCAATAATTTACAAACATTTGTTATATCTTCCAAAATAAGTGCTCAAAACGTTTAAATTTACATTTGATTGCAAACATCTTTAAACAACATTTTTAAACAACATTTTATTCTAGTATTTATCAGAGAAGTTGATTAGTACTCTAGTGTTTTTGGAAACAATTATCACCACCCCAAACTCAAATTAGTGACGAGTTGCTATTGCGATTCGCAGATAACTTCATAAAAGCCTGGGCAAAATGCATGTAAATATTGAAACAATTTGTAACATCACATCACACAATCAGGATGAACATTACGAACATTATAGCATTACCACCCCAATATTAGCATAAGTGAAAGTAAAGTGTGTATGAGAAACCAAACAAAAACATATGCCAAAGTATCGAAAGGAATAAGATTGAGAAAACATATTTTATATTAGTGTTATATCATGTGAGTCATATTGATCTGTTGTTATATCTATGAATTCTCTATGATCATTATGAATTATTTTTCAATGACAAATTGTATTTTAATCTTAAATATTCTATTGCGTATACGTTTTTATCAATCATTTTAATCATCTATGGTTCTATGACATAGTTTTAAGACGTAATTAAGTTTATATCATGTTGTATTTTGAGCAAAAGAAACGTTGTGCACAAACCAAAGATATTTGATAATTATGGTAAAACGAGTTGAAGTTTTGTATGAGTGGATTGAAACATTGAACAAACAACCTGTAGTTTTAAGAAGATTGTGTATTATTTTTTAGTAATGCGATGAGAGGAGACAAACTACCAAAACGAATTATATGATATTATTATAATACGTAGAGAATATTTAATTTTTTGAATAAAAAAATATCGGAAGATGCAATTGGCTGAAACAAAATTTCTTGATATTATTACTTTCATTTGTGAATACGTAATCCATTGTATATTATGAAATATTTATTTATAAACTTTACGTGAATATTGGATTTACAATTTTTATATGTTGAGTTAACATGTTTCGTTTTTACACCAGGCACTACATATATTCAATATTGTTGCAATATTATTAAAACAACTATAATATTTATTTAAACTTACCAAAAATAACATAAAACGTTTATAACGACGAGTTCGCACAATTTCGAGTCAAATATTTACTTGTTATAATAAAATTATAATTTTGTTCCCAATGAATGATTTATACACCCAGTTTAATTTCAAGGTTCTTGATTTAAAAAAGTTTTTTACTAGATTTGACCTTGGAATTAAACTGGATGTATAAATCATTCATTGGGAACAAAATTATAATTGTATCATAACAAGTAAATATTTGACTAGAATTTGTGCTAACTCATGATTTTAAACGTTTTATGTTATTTTTGATAAATATAAATAAAGTTTATAGTTGTTTTAATAATATTGCAACAATATTGAATATATGTAATACCAGGTATAAAGAGCTGTATGTTGGGTTGCCTACATTATAACTGCAAATTCTTAATTTCTCACTCCTCCAGGTTCTTGATTTTAAAAACTTTTTTACTAGATTTGACCTTGGAATTAAACTGAGTGTATAAATCATTCATTGGGAACAAAATTATAATTTTATCATAACAAGTAAATATTTGACTAGAATTTGTGCTAACTCATGATTTTAAACGTTTTATGTTATTTTTGATAAATATAAATAAAGATTATAGTTGTTTTAATAATTTTGCAACAATATTGAATATATGTAATACCAGGTATAAAGAGCTGTATGTTGGGTTGAGTTTCTACCAAAGAACCCACAACATGGTCACTCAGAAACCGGCGAAAGTATGGATTTGATAGTAAAATCTTCAGTTTTGAGTGTGGAAGACGCTGTGCCACTGGCGAAGGCATATTTGCATTCAAATGCAAGAAAGCTGAGCAATTATTCAATCTTCTACACTGTTTAGGTGCTTAGCCTTGACTGGTCGTCAGGTGGTGGGTACAGAACAGTTGGCCGCGAGACGTGTCGCCACGAGGCTTCGTCGTCAGAATAATTCAAGTTTCTAAATAATTGATGTGTAAATTTACGGATTAACTGGAAACAAACGTGTTTACTATTGTGCTAGTGATTAAACATACGTAGGAACTTGGTAAACCGGGTACATTTGTTATTAAGTGATATTTACAAACGTACCATGCGTTTGTAGCATCAATTTCCTACGTCCTGGCGAACGTATAAATGCTGGTGATCGCGAATTTGGTCACACCGATGGATGTTGCACCGATACATACAAACTTGTTTGCTAACATTTTATTTACAAGCTATCAAATCGTTTGATTCTATTAGGTTTCTTTGGATTCTGTACAGCATAAGTCAAGATGATGTTCATCGAGTACCAATGGGACTACCATCTTTCGTCTTACTGAATAGTTTAGGAAATAGTGTTTATTTCAAGCAGTAGTAAGTTTATAATATTGTGATCATAAATTTTACAAATTGTGTTAAAAATTGCTTTTGTTACAGTTGTGCCATGGCTAACAAATGAAATAGTTTGGAACTGGGAACGGCAAAGGGTGGTTTTATGTCCAGCTGCACATCGAAGCCAACGTGAACAAGGGGTTGATGAAATACTGGGAACATTTTGATTGTTATTGTTATTTATATTATTAACATACAAATTATACTTGCATATATATGTTAAAATTAATTTATTGGTCCTTTTGTGGATTGAAGTAATTAATATGACTTGATGTATGAATATGAATATAATTTATATTATTAATCACTTTTGTTTTATTTTGTATTTAAAATGTTACCCCTTTATGTCAATTTCAGGTTGAAAATTTGGTTTTCATTCCTTGAAACCCTTTAAAGGGCCTTCAGGAACTATTGCAACTGGAAGTTCCCTTAAACTTTATGATTCTATATTAAATGCACTTTCAGAATCCAAAATCAGCGTTGAAATATTCAAATTTTTAAGTTATGTCATTAAAAGTGTCCTAAAATGCCCTTTCAAAACGACTTTTAAAAGTTATTTCCTATTTTTTGATCGAAGAGCAGGGCTAAAGTAATTTAGTTAAATTAGTTTGCCTCGAAGAACCGGGCCGAACTATTTTGTTAAAATTATTTTCGTTCGAAGATGCCTCGAAAAAGTTTTCATCACAAAAAAGGCAAAAGATTTCACTTTTTTATGTCGAATGCTGTATTCATTAAAATTGCAAATAGGGCCTAAACGGTTAACGTTAGCAAAAAAAGTTACTAAAATAATCGATGTAGAATTAAATTTTGTATCATAAACCGAAAACAAAATTTAAAAATTCCAACATTTAATTTTCAACATAAAAAAGAGAAATCTTTTGCCTTTTTTATAACAAAATCTTTTTCTTAAAAATTTTTTGTGCCATTTTTATCATTTTTCAATAAGGAATCCATCCTGTACAGAATTTTTCAAGGATCAAGAATATGAAGTTATTTTTCTTCTAGCTCATATAGTTGTCGAGATAATTACGATTTAATCTTCTAATTAGAAATGTTGAAAATTAAAAATTAGAATTTTTAAATTCTGGTTTCGAATTCTGATAGACAATTTAATTCTACAATTATTTTAGTAATTTCTTTTGCTAGCATCAACCGTTATGGCCCTATTTGCAATTAGCCGTATTTAAAAGGTCCAAAATACGCTGCATTTGCTGAATAAAGATTTTTAAACATTAATTTTACCCGCCAATACTAGTTACCGCCTCCTTCATTTACCTCCTCTCGCTTTCTGCGATCCGAATACCAAAACCTGAGTTTCGACTGTTTCGAGTCCAAATTTTGTGTCATTTTGCCTCTGAGAGTCGACAAAATAAAGATTGAATATTAGGAACGCAGAAAGTTGAGGAGGCTGATAAAGTTTTCGCGGCAACTAGTAATGTGCTGCCTCTAGTGGCGATGAGCCGAAGTTTATATTTGAAATTGTTGTAGTTTCCAATAAATAGAGGGCGCTAGCATGCACTTTTCATAATAAATGATTTAAGTAATCGGTAAATATGTGATCGGGTTGAAATAACAGGAATAATTATAATCAGAAAAACTTAAAAAATATTCTTTATTAAAGAAAACACACACGCATACATTTTTGGTAGTCAATTTATGTAATAATCACAAAAGTTATTTAAAATAATAATAAAGAAATTTAATATTTACAATGAAATGCAAGAATGGTCCTTCTATGATGTCAGACTCAGGTGCAAAATCCCTAAAACAAGCAAAAATTAGTCCTTCAAACATAAAAATGCAATTTTGAAATTTGTGAGATAATCACAAAAGTTATTTAGGAAAATGATAAAGAAATTCAATACTTACAATGATGCAAGAATGGTTCTGCTACGATGTCGACCTCAGGTGCAGAACAAAAACAAGCAAAAGTTGTCCTTTGCAACAAAAAATGCAATTTTAGTCACTAATTCATGAGCTAATCCCAAAAATTAGTTATGAAATCGATAAAGAAATTAAATACTTACAATCTGATGCAAGAATGGTCATTCTACGATGTCAGACTCAGAAAAATGGCAAAAATTAGTCCTTCAAACATAAAAATGCAATTTTGGGGGTTAATTTGTGAGACAATTACAAAAGTTATGTTTGAAAATGATAAAGAAATTAAATACTTACAACCTGATGCAAGAATGGTCCTTCTACGATATCAGATTTAGGTGCAAAATCCCTAAAACAAGCAAAAATTAGTCCTTTAAACATAAAAATGCAATTTTGGGGGTTAATTTGTGAGATAATTACAAAAGTTATGTTTGAAAATGATAAAGAAATTAAGTACTTACAATCTGATGCAAGATTGGTCCTTCTACGATGTCAGACTTAGGTGCAAAATCCCTAAAACAAGCAAAAATTAGTCCTTCGAACATAAAAATGCAATTTTGGGGGTTAATTTGTGAGACAATTACAAAAGTTATGTTTGAAAATGATAAAGAAATTAAATACTTACAACCTGATGCAAGAATGGTCCTTCTACGATATCAGATTTAGGTGCAAAATCCCTAAAACAAGCAAAAATTAGTCCTTTAAACATAAAAATGCAATTTGGGGGTTAATTTGTGAGATAATTACAAAAGTTATGTGTGAAAATGATAAAGAAATTAAATACTTACAATCTGATCCAAGAATGGTCCTTCTACAATATCAGACTCAGGTGCAAAATCCCTAAAACAAGCAAAAATTAGTCCTTCGAACATAAAAATGCAATTTTAGGGGTTAAATTGTGAGATAATTACAAAATTTATTTGGGAAAATGATAAAGAAATTAAATACTTACAATCTTATACAAGAATGGTCCTTCTACGATATCAGACTCAGGTGCAAAATCCCTAAAACAAGCAAAAATTAGTCCTTCGAACATAAAAATGCTATTTTAGGGGTTAATTTGTGAGATAATTACAAAATTTATTTGGGAAATGATAAAGAAATTAAATACTTACAATCTGATACAAGAATGGTCCTTCTACGATGTCAAACTCAGGTGCAAAATCCCTAAAACAAGCAAAAATTAGTCCTTCGAACATAAAAATGCAATTTTAGGGGTTAAATTGTGAGATAATTACAAAATTTATTTGGGAAAATGATAAAGAAATTAAATACTTACAATCTGATCCAAGAATGGACCTTCTACGATATCAGACTTAGGTGCAAAATCCCTAAAACAAGCAAAAATTAGTCCTTTAAACATAAAAATGCAATTTTGGGGGTTAATTTGTGAGATAATTACAAAAGTTATGTTTGAAAATGATAAAGAAATTAAATACTTACAATCTGATCCAAGAATGGTCCTTCTACGATATCAGACTCAGGTGCAAAATTCCTAAAACAAGCAAAAATTAGTCCTTCGAACATAAAAATGCAATTTTAGGGGTTAAATTGTGAGATAATTACAAAATTTATTTGGGAAAATGATAAAGAAATTAAATACTTACAATCTTATACAAGAATGGTCCTTCTACGATATCAGACTCAGGTGCAAAATCCCTAAAACAAGCAAAAATTAGTCCTTCGAACATAAAAATGCAATTTTAGGGGTTAATTTGTGAGATAATTACAAAATTTATTTGGGAAAATGATAAAGAAATTAAATACTTACAATCTGATACAAGAATGGTCCTTCTACGATGTCAAACTCAGGTGCAAAATCCCTAAAACAAACAAAAATTAGTCCTTCGAACATAAAAATGCAATTTTGGGGGTCAATTTATACGATAATCATAAAAGTTATTTAGGAAAATGATAAAGGAATTAATTACTTACAATCTGATACCAGAATGGTCCTTCTACGATGTCAGACTCAGGTGCAAAATCCCTAAAACAAGCAAAAATTAGTCCTTCGAACATAAAAATGCTATTATAGGGGTTAATTTGTAAGATAATTACAAAATTTATTTGGGAAAATGATAAAGAAATTAAATACTTACAATCTGATACAAGAATGGTACTTCTACGATGTCAGACTCAGGTGCAAAATCCCTAAAACAAGCAAAAATTAGTCATTCGAACATAAAAATGCAATTTAGGGGGTTAATTTGTGAGACAATTACAAAAGTTATGTGTGAATATGACAAAAAATTTAAATACTTACAATCTGATGCAAGAATGGTCCTTCTACGATGTCAGGCTCAGGTTCAAAATCCCTAAAACAAGCAAAAATTAGTCCTTCGAACATAAAAAAGCAATTTTGGAGGTTAATTTGTGAGAAAATTACAAAAGTTATTTGGGAAAATGATAAAGAAATGAAATACTTACAATCTGATAGAAGAATGGTCCTTCTACGATGTCAGGCTCAGGTGCAAAATCCCTAAAACAAGCAAAAATTAGTCCTTCGAACATAAAAATGCAATTTTGGGGGTTAATTTGTGAGATAATTACAAAAGTTATGTGTGAAAATGATAAAGAAGTTAAATACTTACAATCTGATGCAAGAATGGTCCTTCTACAATGTCAGTCTCAGGTGCAAAATCCCTAAAACAAGCAAACATTTGTCCTTCGATCATAAAAATGCAATTTTGGGGGTCAATTTTTGAAATAATCACAAAAGTTATCTAAGAAAATGATAAAGAAATTAAATACTTACAATCTGATACAAGAATGGTCCTTCTACGATGTCAGACTTAGGTGTAAAATCCCTATAAGTGCAGATTGATGACCCGCTTCCACATCCACCTGAGGTGAAAACAAACTTCATTAGTATAACAACGAGCCAGAAGTAATACAAAAACGAAGTATTGCTGAAGTTTAGGAGTGTTCTTGGGGTAGTTTAAGTTGTATTTCTTATTTACCTCTTCTAAGGCTCATTCAACACAAACATTCTTGTAAAGGTTATATGTATGTAGGACAGTAAAATACCACTTATTTCCATTTAAGTGCTACAGTGATAACCTACACATCGTAAAATTGAAATAAATAATTATATAAGTTATTAAATTAATTTAATAAAGACAAATGTAAAACTTTATATATTTATGTTTTATGTATTATATTTTATGTATTATTGTGTCGATTGCACGGTCGATTGTGTCAACCTACACCGAGGCTTAGTTAACACACATGTTGTCTGTAAAGCGTATTTTACACTTGATAAAACACGTTAATGTCAGTAAACAACTTATACTTATTTCCATTTCAGTGTTACAGTGTTATAATTGTAACACCACACCTTACAAAATAAAAATAAATAAATACCTCTGGGCCTGTCAAAATTTAATAGAATCATTGAAATCGTTGAAGAAGCATGAAGTTCACAGCTGGTCCAAGATATCCGGCTCGTCTCGTTAAAACGTTAAACCTAAAAAAATAATAATTTGCCTTTGAGTTCCACAGAATATAAATCAATTAACTCTACACCACAATCACTTATTATTAAATGTTAACCAAGAAAAATTATTAAGAAACGCGAAGAGTATCTATATAGATGCAGTGGCGGATTACGGCCTAGGCGCACTAGGCGCGCGCCTAGGGCCCCGGCTGCCTGAGGGGCCCCTGGCACTTATATGTCCCATATAGACATAGTAATTCCACAAATACTTCATCAGTTGGTTTTGACCTCAGCCTTTATGAATAGCATATTGGTTTTCACTTGGCGCCCAAAACGGCATTTCACACGTGTCCGCAAAGCAACCGTCACGGATATATAGCTGACTTAAAACTTTTATCTCCGATTTTATTTCTTTATGGCAAACTGTTTAAAATAAAATTTGGATGTTTTCTGCCACGAATTTTTGTGACTTTTTCTTGAATATTGCATTAGAAAGTTGTAGCTATAATGCGAGTAGTATATTGCCAATTTTTTAAAATTTCGAACATCTGTGGAGGAGATGAGTTGAGGAATATTCCATTGAGGTTGTAAAATAGCGGGTAACTCTCTTTTTGGAATATTAATTATTTCGTCTTTCTATCATTTTTACATCTGCGGAACACGTTGTACCAACGTTTATCCTCCTACAATTTTTATCTAGATTTTTGGGGTGGTAGTTGGATTAAAAAAAACTGAGTTCAAAAGAGTTCGATCAATTTGAGACGGCACTGTTAACAATTTTCTGGAACAAACTCCTACAGAGAATCGAAATTACCAGCAAATACTTACAGCAACCAAAGACAAATATTCTTAATAGTGTTAGTTTATTAAAATCATTATACGAATTTATAACAGTGGTCAGAAATAATTTCGAAACTGTTGAAGAGGAGGCTAAATCCTAACAGCTCATTATTCTTATAAAAAGATGAGACAAAGAAAACGCATATGATGAAATGAACAAAAATGATTTTTGTCAAGAAATTTTTATTGTCAACATTTTTATATTGTATGTGATGTATTAACATCAGAAATTACTCGAAGGGGCGATGTCTATATCAATGTTCTTAACGATTTTAAAATTTTCTTTGATTTAAAATTAAGCCGTGTTGAGACTAATAATTGTGTAGAGCGATTATTGTCTAACTATGAAAAGATATTGAGCCAGAATATTTCACTGATGAGTTAACTCATTTTCTAAAATACATACAAGAAGAAAATATTAGAGATCCCCATGAAATATATGCAACATTAAGTTATGGTCTAAAATCAACTTTTCCAAATATTCACACAATACTGCAAATTTTTTGACCTTGCCCGTTTCTAATGCAAGTGGAGAAAGGACATTTTCAGTTTTAAAGCGAGTCAAAAACTATCTGCGCAATAGTCTTTCTCAAGAGCACTTAAATGAATTCGCATTAATGTTTATAGAAAATGATACATATTTTTAAAAACTAGAGTACGACAAAATTATTGAAATCTTTGCCCAAGAGAAGGCAAGAAAAGTAAATTAGTAATTTGTATTTAAATACGATCACCGTTTTTGAGCACACGTACGATGAACTCGAGAACCAAGATAGCATTGAAAACGATAATCCCATCGCGGATAGTATGGCAGAAAATTTTACCTGTGATATTTCGATCGGTTCTGAAAACAATTAACGCAGTCCATCGCGAAGAGCGAATCGGAAGATAATCCATTAAATTTTGGAATTGTGCTTGTGGATTAGGCCAGCTGGGGATACCACGATAAAAAAAACGCGCCACGTACTCTACCTCATGGTGGTGTGGAGTTTTGGCACAAACGAATGTTGAAGTAGACTTTGCGGCGCCCGTACGCTAAAACTATTAATTTTACTGGGCTAATAACCGTTTTGAAAATTTTCGGATTTAGGGGCCCCAAACTTGATTTGCGCCTAGGGCCCCACTGAAGCATAATCCGCCACTGTATAGATGGACTGATGAACAAAACAAAACGCATGCCGCACCACAACTAAACGCTCGACCGACTAAAAAGATAAACAATTGATAACCGGTACATCGAAGATGATACCAACCAGCGCTAACAAGTTCATACAAGCAAAGATTGAAACAAAATAAACTTGTTTTTAAATTGTGAAATAATATAATATTTAATTGAAAATATTGGCCAGCATTAAAATTTTATTACTTTGTAGGGTAAATCAGTAACTTCGGAAATAAATGGTATAATTTTCGGTTCACCAATTTTTGTGCTGGTTTTGTGCTGTTAAAGTTGCCTAACGTGAAGTAACATTTTGAATTGGTGTAGCTGCGCATTCCCTGGTTTACACATTGTATTTTAGCGGAATTATTTTGATCATTTGTTTGAGCCAACCATAGGGGGCGGCTATTTACGACGTATTTCCACTGAATTGATATTACATATAAAAATTACTATAAACCCTAATATACTAATGGCCCAGATGACATCCTACTTCTTATTGCTTTTGTTTGCACCTGCTGAAATTAAAACGATAACAACGCTCAAAATTCTAAAATATTAAAACATGAAAAAAACGCTATTGATTACAAATAAATATTTAATCGCTCTCTAATGCGTCTAGTACGTCCTAGTTTATTGAATAAAATAATGTTTTCCACAACCTTCTAGATTTCGGTATAAAACCGTAAAACCTTAATCATAATTGACCTCAAAGAAACACTAGAGATTAAAGTATTCAAACTTGAATAAATTAGCATGAATTTTTTTAATTTGTGTGCAATCATCTGGCTGTGCATGCAATGCGTGCGTAAAATATACATTAAAACATTATGACTTAATTAAATCGATGAAAGGAACTCTGTGTCGCTGGTCACATATAAAAAAAATGGAATAAGTGTGTTTGCACTTTATTTATTTGGTCATTACATATTCTGATTGAAAGATTGAAGAAAATGATCATAAAAAAGTGAGCGAATGGTGTCGCCAGACAATTTTAATGAGTGATTTAGATGAGCACAAAGCGACTCTCCAGAGACTTCTATCGGGATGCGACCAGACGCAGGGGCGGCGCGCGTTCCACTTCGACAGTTCCGCGACTGGCGCTAATCTCGTGCCGAAGCGGGCGCACTCATCCCACGCCCTCCCTTCGCACTGTGACTGGAATGGTCTGGGCGCCGGGATGAAAAGCAGTAATCTCTCGTTTTCGCACCATCTTTGCTCAGCGCCTAGGCAACGCCAGCACAACTAAACCAATTTCAACTTTACAATCCCAGCTGAATGCCGAGCAAAACGAGCAACCCGCAGCGCTTTGCCCGTGCCAGGCGCGGTACGTTCGGTTGCCTATTATCGTCGAGCTTATCAGCCGAGAGCCGAAAGCCTGAAGCTTGAAGTGTAAAGCCTTTCCACTTTACGTTTACGTTTACGGACGCGGCGCGCGGTTTAAACGTTTAATGAGCGAGATCACTCGGCGAAGATACGAAGATATCTTCGCACACCAACGCGTATCCAATTTAGGCAAAAATCCAAACCACAAAACTTGCCACCGTTTTTAATTTACTTTAATTAAATGTCACAATAGAGTTTAATGAAATTTTAATATTTCTATGAATGGAAATGTGCAAATGGTGGATTGAATTGTGTGCGCAATGCAGGCATGATGAAAGGACACATTCTGGACACAGTTTAGTTACTGATGAGAGTGACAGACAGATACGAATAGTTCGAATACAAATGGAAAATGCGACGAATCGGGGATCGCAAATGAAATGGCACAGCGCTGAATGGAAAATGGCAAAACTCAAAATGGAATTCTTATCGCCGCTTTTTCATAACACGCTGGACTGGGACGGTCGCACGGCCGAATGAACAGATCACGCACAATGGCACTGAATAAACAGATATAATCCAGGCAATTCAGGGAAACAAACTTTTTGAAAAGTTATATTAAAAAACAAACAAAAATAAAATAAACTCTCATTAATTAATTAAAAATATTACGCAACACAATTTAATAATACTTATTACCAAATATTCCTAGTATCAATTCATGTATCAAAACATGCGATAAAAATTAGGGAATTATAAGCACTGTGTGCAAACACTGCACCCTGAATTCTGTACACCCTTTAAACTTGAGTGGGTCGCGTGCGACTGTTATATTCGAGGGGTTGCTACTGCTACAAAGCATCATTCAATAGAAGCGAAGAGAAAACCCAACTCGTATCATAATTGTAATCTAAATAGTGACATGTAACACATTTCTGTTACATTCGTAATATTTTATTATCCGAGTTATCTTTCTCTCGACGCCCGTCTTCGATGGGCTTTCACTCGCGAACGATCTAATTTGATATCTCTGCTACTCGCTGTAATAACGGGGCGTAATATGATGCAAACATGCGGAAACTAAGCTAAACGCCTGTGGGAAAATGATTACTAAACTGCATCCGTTTCCTAATATATTAATGCATCAAAAATGAGAATAAAACGATAAAATTAAAAAAATTAATAAAATTTATGAATTTCTTACACAATCGACCTATAAATAAAAGTCTAATGCACTGGTAATGCACAAATTCTTAGAAGTTATTGCACAAGTGCAGTTTTACATCCGCTTGTAATGAATAAAAGTGAATTTGTTTCTATTTGGGTTAGCAAGGAAGTAATTACGACTTCTCGACGTCCGTTTCTGCATGTGTTCCGATTCCGTGCCGTTCGATTTATCTTAGAACACGATGCACGATATCGCTTTAATCTTGTATGCAAATTATCCGCAATTATTGCAATTGTCCGAGTTCAGATTTTAAATTAAAAATTCTTCCTGAGTATACAAGCAGAAAATAATTCAGCATCTCCAACAGTGCAAAATCGTTAAATAAATAACTAATTTCATCTCAGACACTGGTACAATCTGTAGATTTATTAGTTATCTTATGATTACAATTAAGCAATGCCTGCAACAGTCTCACATACTCGTAGAAAGCAGAACGAAAGACTTAGCAAGTGAAAGAAATTGAGGAAAAGCCACAGTCGGGCAATTAAAATTACACTGCATCAACGGCAGCGAGATTGAAGACTCAAAGAAGAAGAATTATGCAATCGCCCAATTCTATTAAATCCATTACGTTCGTTATTACTTATTACGCTTATTGTGACAGCAAAGAATACCAAATTCAATTAACTCTGCCTGAAAATAACATGTAATTTCATTGAATGCTCAAAGAGTAAAGTAAACCTACATTGTAAACATTTGAGGCGTAATCCAACACAAGATGGAAACAGACGAACCATTCTTCACTTGTCAATGATAGAAACAAGAATGACTTTCACTCATTACATCGCTGGTCAGCTGTTGCTAGCTAACTGTACAAATGCAATCACACATATAATTTTTTCTTCTGTAAATTTTCTCCGCACATGAAGCAAGATTTTCATTTCACTTAGTATTCGTGGTGTGTGAACGATTGCTGGGAGAGATTACCAGGATTACAATGTCAAGCTGCTTGTTCACTTATGTTTACCTCGTGTTAAGTGTGTTGCCGTGCGGGCGGGGCGCCATTGTGAGTAGCCCATTGTTGAAGTTGACTTCGGGAGAGTGTGGTGTGACAATGATAAGCCGATTACTGGTCGGGTCGTCGGCTTGTAAGCTCGAGATAAAACGCTCAACATTTGATCCCGTTGAATACGTCCAGCGAGAATTTTCGCAAGTTTCATTTGTTCCCACATGTGGATCAATAAAAATTCAAAGTTTGTGTTGGTGAAATGAATATTTTTATGCTGGGTATTTTGTAAATTGATTTTTTTAATATAAAATTGGATTGTTATCTAGGTTGATGCACGCGAGCACGCAGAGGAAATTTTTAAGCAAATAAAATTTGCTGCGCGATAATAAATTTCTAAAATTATATTTTATGAGGGCCGTCGAGGAAGATGCGCGCGTGTGCGCACATGCCGTCGGCTCATCTCGGCGTCTATTATAATTCGAAAATTGGACGGGCCGAAAATTGACTTGCAAAATATTGTAATTAACTGGGACGCCCGGGCAGCAGCAGCGGCTAATCTAAAGGTAATCTAAAGCTCGTATACAATCATTAAACTCTCATTTTTTATAGCGTCTCATATTAGTTTCAGCTTTCAATTTTTATAACCAAATTTAAATCATAGCACAAAAATAAACATAAATGTCGCCAAAAAGTGATGCCACCTTTTAACTGTTTTATTTAAATGTGACCACCAACGTGGTTAGACAAACGATCAAAATTGTAATGACAATGTTTTCATAAAAAGTTATTTAGTGCCACCCTCGTTGTTGCAAAAGAATGTCATCCGAATGAAGCAATAAAAGTAAAAATATTGAATGATTATATGTTATTGTGGGTTGAGTAGGCTTTTACCGACAGGTTGAAATCGATTTTTATTGATTTTTGAGGTTCACTAGTGATTTTCACTGAGTTTTGGGTTAACCGTGTATTTACCCAAAATTGAAACCATCAATTACTACATTATATATTATTTTCTTACTTTCAACCGCAAATAACAGGCGGTTAATAAAAACAACAAGAAAAGTTAATAAATTGGTGTACACTTAAAAATTTGTAACAACTTTCAAAATAAAATCAGTGAAATTGGAGCAAAATTTAATAAAAATACATATTTTGTCTAATGCACCACACTTAAAACTTATATCACAAGTCAATTCATGCATTTGTGCAGAACCGGCCTAAAAAATAAATCATTTTGTAATAAATCATCAAATTTATTTATTTTTTCACAAAATATGCAACAGTATTTATTGCAGCATCATAAATTCAAAAACATCTTTCAGACTTTGAATACATCAACTGACAACAACCCTTGAAGGCATTCTTCATTAGTAAGTGGTTCGGTGGATCTCAACGGTGGCATATAATTTATACCCGACACGTGCATACACAGGGCGCACACGTCGAGTGTTCAACCTGATATTATTGAATGATAGCGCTTGGACTACCGCCAACAACCGCACGACGCTTCTTTACAAACGACAAACGCCACCGCAACACAAACACACACACACACAATTACAATGTGAAATCTATATCAGATCGAAACTTCAATGGTGAACTAAAACCTTCGCCAGGTCCGTTCATAAGTTCACTAATTCAATGGCCAGCGGCTAGGAGGTTGATTTTTATGTTTTATTTAGTTACAGGTAGGTTGCTACCTGATCTATGCTGATATTTGAACACAGAAAATTATTATGTATGAATAAAACAAGTTTTTTCTTTAAAAATTCGCAAAAATATTTTAAAAATTTTATTTTAAAACTGTTACTATTTTTTATTAATTAATTAAGCTTAAATTTAATATTTCAACACTTTATTCGCCTTATGCTCTATTAATTTCATTTCGTTTTCATGCCACACGCTTTTCACGTATACGCATATTATGTACTCGTATAATGCAGATAGCGAACGTGCACTGCATTCGATAAATGTGATGTAAATCGCTTCCGCTAAACGCGCCGTTAATGCGAGCGCTAATTTTTATTACAAAACGCTCGTTTAACATAAATCCACGATTTACTGCGATCGAATATAAGCGCAAATAAGGTAAAACACATCGCTTTCGCTCGTGGTTCTATCGACATTTAACTAATCGCATTTTTATTGCGTTTTATTCAAAATTTATTACCACAATTTGCGTATGGTTAAGTTTTTCAACCATCAATACAAACACTAACAAATTACGCTTGCAATAAACATATTTTAAAATATAATTTTTTTTTAAATTTACTTTCTTTTTGTATTTGGTTTTGCTCATTTCTCAGCGCCGTTTTTGAGTAACATGTTTAATTGCAATTACTTCCATTATTCGAACAGTGGACAATAGAAACTTGCGCTAACTTGTGATTTTGAAGTTGTTAACTTTTACGTTGTATGGATTAATGACTATCGAGGACAAAAACGCAGTATCCGTATTAATTACGAAAGTTTTACTTTTAATTTTCTTTTCTTTTTTTTACCAAACTGCAAACATAACAGCACGAGTAATTAAAAACAATCAGTTAATATTTAAATACGTTTATTATTTAACATTAATTAACACAGAAGCAGTAACTTGCACGTCTCTCTATAAAAATTTTGCGTCAAATTAAATAAAGATAAATTAAAATTTCACAATTTTTCTACATAAAAAAATAAAGATATTTGAGCAAATCGATGTGAAAAGATGAGATTTGTGTGATGAATGTAGATAAATGTTACAGTTATAACAAATAATATTAATTAATAATAACAAATTCTTACTACAAGTCGTCCCTCAAGGTCGATTCGTGTTTTGGTGATTTCGATCGATTTTCTTCCGTTTGGTTTTTCTCTGTGCTTTACGCTCAGTAGTGATGATGTTCATGGTGTTCCTCGTGATGCGGAACCTTGATGGGAATGTGCACGGGTACCTTTACAGGGTAGGGTACTTCTTTCTCGACTGGATATGGTACTTCCTTGTACACCGGGTAGGGCTTGTCGACTGGAACCTTCACCTCGTACGGCACTGGCTTCTCCACTTCGACTGGCACCTTCTTGATGACGGTGAACGGCTGCGGCACTGGCACCTTCACGTGGTACGGCACCGGCTTGGGTACCTCAACTGGGTAAGGCTTATCTACGGGGATCTTGACTTCGTAGGGTACAGGTTTCTCGACTGGTACCGGAATGTGTTTTTCAACGGTGACGGTGTATGGTTTTGGCACGTGGACTGTGTACGGCCTGTCAACTGGGACCTTCACCTCATAGGGTACCTTCTTTTCTACGGTGTAGGGTTGGGGCACTGGGATCTCAACTTTGACTGGGTAAGGCACGCGTTTTTCAACTGTGTATGGTTGTGGGACATGTACCTTCACCTCATATGGTACCTTCTTTTCTACGGTGTAAGGTTGTGGGACATGGACTTTGACTTCGTATGGACGTGGGACTGGTACCTTAACTTCATAGGGAATCTTTTTGATGACCTCATAGGGTTGTGGGACGTAGTATGGTACTTTGATGTACTCCTTCACAGGGTAGGGTACCTTCTTTTCCACGGTGTACGGTTGTGGGACTGGTACTTTAACCTCATAAGGTACTTTCTTTTCTACTGTGTAAGGCACATGTTTCTCTACTGTGTATGGGACTGGAATCTTCTTCTCTACCACGACAGTTTTGACATGTTCGTGGTGATGCCCATGGTCGTCACCGCCGCCACCACCGCCAAAGTCATGTCCACCGAAATCACCAATGCCCTCATGGATACCACGTTTGTCGGTCTTCTTCTCCGCAACTGCTTTAGTGTCTTCCTTCTTCTCCGCAGACTTTTCCGCTGGTGCGGCCAGAGCTACCGCGCATACGCACACAAGAAATATCTGCAAACAGAAACCAATGATACTGATTAATAAATCCACTTATTCACTTTGTTTGGATGGCTTACAAATGCCCTCATGTTTGCGTCGTATGCAATGGTGAGGAAGGCTCTGACGCTCTACAAACCTGCAAACTCTTTTATACCCAGGTACCCACCGTCTTCGCCGCCGTGCAGACTTTCTCGGTGCCAACAGTTGCGCGCTCGCGAAACAACGTCACAGTGCTTAAGCATAGCATCACACATTCACTATGTTTGCACATGTCACACACGGGTCGAAACATCCTGTATAACTTGGAGCAAAGAAAGAAAACAAACGTGCGAGGTTTCACTTCCACATCCGCGCACAACGCGCACGACGGCGGCCATTGCATAATCATCAACAAACGACAATCGACAAGAGCAAAACTGCAACGAACGAGTTGAAAAACACACCGATTGCTAATTTATCGCGAGCATCATCAACGGTTTGAAACAGAAACAGTAGTATAATAAAACAACAGTAGTTTAGTCGAGCGCACTGCTTCTTGTTAGGTCAGAAGAATGCTGAATGCTAGGAAGAAGTTGATGTTACTGTAAATGGATGTGACTGGTTGCAAGCTTTGTCAAACTTTACTGCATTACGATGTGTAATTAGGAAAACCAACAAACAATAAAAACTATTAATATTTCATGCATTATTGTATTTTAAATGCCGCAATAATACGTAACCTAACCTAACATAACCTAATTGTTGTGTAATGCAATATTCTACAAGAATGTCATGTTGAATCTAATTTTAATTGCATATTGCAATATCACCATGTTTGTACCGTTTATTATTTTGATGAAAAGTTGGTAAACTTTAATGAAATTAAACTTGTTTTCGGCTGAAAACCTAAAAGATGTTTAGAATAGGAAGCCGATCCACGTGTAGATAATTAAAAGTCGTAAAATGCGAGCGAAATGCACGTTTTATGGCTCAATCAAAAATCGTTCGGCGCAGAGTGCTTTCGCGTTTTCTTCTTCATCTGATACGGGTTACAAACGAGCTGCGCCAGGTCGTCCGTGTGGCAACATCCTGATTGCAGGTGTAAATTCCATCAAATTAGCATGTTTTTTTTTTCTCTTCGTTTTGCGAGTTCATCGGCATAACAAGAACTAATGGCAGCCAATTTTCGAAGCGTATTAATAATAATCGTAAATGATGACGACGAGACGACGCGGGCTCGACCACTGTTTTAGCCCCTCGCCTTTATTAATTTTTGTTGAAAAATCGTGTCACGTGCGCGTGTGCACCTACCTAATAAAGTCATAATTTTCGAGCTTTGCAAACGCCCCGTTTTGATGTAGAAGTTCGTTTTCGACCGCAATCGAAATGTGAATAAAAAACAACGGACCCGTGTTGTGCATCTGCGCCATTTTTCAACGACACATCGCACGCGCTTCAAAGTGCATCAAACTTGGGATCGAAGCCGCCGCAAACGGTGAAGATTTATTGCGGTCGGTAGGAAATTCGATGATCTAGGTAAACATACCCAGAGATTAAAAAGTAAATGAATTTGATGAGTGTGTGCATTTGTGTTAATTTAGTTGTTTGGGCACATGTCTTTTGTGTTTCTTTCTTTTCTTAATTAAATATGTAATTATGTTGTTTACATGACAGTAATTACGATTTCTTTTACTCATTTGCTTGGTGCATATGTTTAAATTTAAAAAATTGCAAAATTTTACAAGATAATATGACATTTCAATAAAATGGCCTTTTTATTTTTGCTTTTGTTTAAAAAATTAGTTTATCAAATTGCAAACATGCAAAAATTGACCTTGAAAATGTTGTAACAACTTATTTTGCAAATATACAGTTTATTGTCACGAAGAAAGATTTGTCTAAATGTCAAATTGTATTGTTGGCTGCATACCTAATAAAATACCACGTTCAATACTTGTATTACAACTCAAGCATTGATTTTTGAAGCTTATTAAACAAGATCACTAATTAGATACGTGCCAAAACTCCCATAGCATCACCTGTTTCAAACCACCTTCAAAATTCGTTTTAAATTAAAACATTTTAAGCAAAAAATGTAATTTTGTTTCGTCCTAATTAATTTACGTTCAATTAAATTAATTACATTTCATACAACGTGTCGTAACACTAAGTAAGCATGAGCTGACTTGCTGAGTGATGAAAAAGTAAAAAATTGCACGTTCTCTTGCACGACTTATAATTGAGATGCGTAATGCGCACCTCGTAGATATTCGCAGCGAAGATTGCACCGAATAAAATCAGCAAGAAGGAACGAATGGAACGAATGTCTCTCATACACACACTAGCCACGCAAGAATTCTGCACTTCTTGCACTTTTCAAAGTGTAACACGTGTATAACAACAGCCGACTTCAATCGGCGATGTGTAATACAGAGTTTTATGTAATAAATTTCACTTTGCATCAATCTGAGACGAACAAGCTGACTAACTAACTAACGAACTAATAGCTAATTAATTAGCGACTCAAGTAATTAACTTTTTTATGCAAAAAATAAAATTTAATTAGTTTTTTTGCATGAAGAAACCTCAACTAATTTTATAACGACACTTTTTTAGTTTATAGTAAAAATATAGATAAATCTATAAATAAATAATGAATATGAACATGCTCGACTTAATTTGCTATATTTCACAACTGTGTTATTAGAAGTGTAGTATTATACTTCTAAATAAGAGAAACACAACAAAAGAATGCATTATTACACTATGGTTGACGACAGGTAGTTGAGACATTACTTTTATGCTGTGCACATTCTTCTTTCTTTTGACAAGTCTTTGCAATCGGAAATAACTCTGTAAATTCGTATTGTTGATGTTCAGATATATTGTGACAACTTCCTACTATTCATAAACATTAGGTAACTTTATTTTTGTATAAATTCAGTCAAAATTGAAATAAATTCGTAAAAAACAGCTTTTTTATAAATTTAAGGTTAAATATTTGACAGATAACCTTAAAATTTCCTTTGACAGATGATGCTAACCTAAATCATGTTACATAACCTAATTAATCAATTAATTGTATTAGAAGCAGATTGTTTTGTAGATATTTGATGTTTGATCACAGATAGAATAAGCAAGATTCAAGCAAAGCCAGAATTAGTCTCTTCGTGCGTTTGACTGGCAATGGCTTTTAGCCGGTTGCACTTTCTAATTGATAATTGCAATCCGCGTTCGCCATTAGCGAGAACTACGAGCGCATTTCGAATCGCGACTTCCATCAGACTGGACTGCGCACTGGACTTCCATAAGAATTATTCTTTCTTTATAAACGATTCCACTCGACTCGTTGACTGACTGACTGACTGCGCTCGACTCGACCGGTTCGTATAATAAATAAATAATGATTACTTTCGATTGTTTTCATTTTTTGCTTCTTTTCTTTTTCTTTGGTCCTCATTCATATACCAAGTGTTTTTAAAACTTTTACATTTATTTTTAATATACCTACCAATGCTTCTAAGAACTTTATGTGTTGAATGTGACAAATTAGCAACTTTTGAATAATTTTGTGCGATCCTGTATAAAAAATCACTCTTTACACTGTGTATGCAATATGATTTTATTTTATACATTGCTACAATTGCGTTATGGTGCGTTTAGCGTGCAATTCTTTTATTGCTGTTATTAAAGTTACAGAAAACATATGCTCGTATTTCATGCGCTAATATTATGCAACGTGTTAAGATTTGCAATTATTGAGCATTTTATAAGTTTTAAATAAGTATCTTGCTCGTTTAAATACTCATTTGTCGTTTGTATATAATTTAAGTTGTTTAATCACTACGAGATGAAATGAATATGAATGAAATTAGGTTGCTTGTAGGAACTATTACAAATAGATGGCGTTGCGGTCAGAAATATATTAAACAATGTTTTTGTTTCGGATATTAGTTGGTATGAAATTAAATTTTAATCTACGATGACCAAAGAGTGAAACTTGCAATTATCAACACTTTTGCAACAGAAACAATTAATTATATAACGATTAAATTAAATTTTACTCATTGCTTACTAATTTGCGATTAATTAAAATTTGTAATTATAATTATAAAAAAAAACTACAAATTTACTTTAATAACGGTATTGTAGAAATTCGGTTGCAGTTTAATTATAGTGCTATTATTTTGTAAAATTGCTAATTACTACAAATTACTATCAAATGAATAATTTTAAAAATATATGAATATAAATATAATGTGATTATGTGATGAAATAAATCCTTAGTATGACTGTGTGTGTTGATATTGGAAGTTATTTGCAAATCATCCCCTCTTGTAAATATCATTTCAGGTCATGATAGTTGCCTTCGCCCGACAGCGACACAATAAACTGGATGAATTACAATCGGTTGGCGGCGATGCGACAGCGCGGACAGCGAATGGGGTGTGCTGCGATGTGTGACCGACGACGGGGACGTCGTTTCGCAACAACAAACACAGGTCGCCGACGTCCACGATGAGCTTTTCTCGTTTACTTGCAAGCCACACGAACATATTACATGGGGAGAAGGTATTGTCAATGTGAAGTAGTCGTAATCAACCTGTGTAAGGTTTTATACTTTTCAAGTTTCAAGTTTTGCGTTTTTAGAATGATGTTGAAGTTACAAATTTTACCGCTAGATGGAGAATTAATTAAGATATTAGGCTTTTCCTTTGACCAAAATGTCAAAAATGTCAAAAATCAAAAGTGAATACCGAAAATACAGAAATATGTTTGAAAGCGTCATCAAAACTATAAAAAACGCTTTGAATTTAAAAGTATGTATTAAAATTCCAATGAAAATGGGTTGAATTTAGACGCTGAAACAAACTCAAAATGTGTCATTTTAATAGCCAATTTGCAATTTTTAATGGTAATTTAATTCATTTTTAAGCGTTACCATTTCGAAAACCGTCCCAAAATTGCCACCAAAACTTCTAAATTTGCATTTACATGGAACCGACTTACACCAAAAACAAAAATTGTCAATGTGTAGCATTTGTTTCCCTTGGTAGCTGAATCACAAATTTATAAATTTATTCCCGCGCGGCATGTTAATTTGAGAGTCCACTAACCGTCGAATTAAATCAACGAAAGCGAATCACAATCCACACCTCTCTCATCTCAAAAAAGGTGTCCGATGTATTTTTTATTATTATTGTGTTAAATTCACTTTTGGGTGCAAGCCTGTAATTTCAAACAGAAACACCGCCTGCGTTTCACGAAAAAACAGAAGTCAAAAAACCCACCGTGAGTATTTTTTTCTCTCGCGTCGACAGCGGGCTACAAAAAAACAGGAAAAGAAAAAGGTAACACGTAACACGTAAAAAGTGTTAATGCGCAGGTGCAGGACTCGTGTCTTGTGTTTCATGCCATTATGCCATAGTTACAGATATATTTAGATAGCAGAATAGCGATAGATGCTTCCGAACATTTATTCAAACGCAATATTTGACCCTTTTTGATGCTTTTATCAGCGCCACGTATCTTTAACCAAGCACGAGGTGTCAAAATGTTTTGATTGACCGCTGAACACCGCCAATCAACGGCCATTATCACAAATTAAGTTAAAACCAACAGGTTTCATTCATAATCTTAATCTTGATGAATATCATAAAATAAAATAAAATAAAACATCACATATGATGCAAATGGCACCCCAAATCCAACCTAACCTCAAAACCAATAATAATTCATCATATTTGAATCACTTGGTGATAATAACAGGGATGTTATCTTGTTTGATGAAGTGTTCATGTGTTGACGTGTTGATCTAGTTGTAATACCCGAAATCGAATGTAATATTACACTGGCTACCACCCACTGTGCAGTGTAAATAAGCAATATGTGTTATTGGTGGTGTGTGTAGTCGAGTGGAGGTGTTACGCTTAGTGATTTCGCATTATTAAACGCATTAAAGGGCAATAAACGGCGCACCACACAATCACGGTGGCAATCACGATGCCTGAATGCTGGCTGGCGCTCAGAGTCAGCGATAGCGTAATAGGTGCGCATATGTCCCAGGCGCGTTCCGCTCGTACGATTGTAATCACCCTGCGGTATGTTGTCGCACATGTTTCATTCGAGCGTCAAACATTCGAAACATGTGTGGACAAGTGTTCATCTTGACAAATATTGTATTATGGGTTGTCTATTGGGTTTATAAGTGGAATAGTTTATTTGGAGGTTAGGAAAATGGAGAAAAACTAAAATTTCTTTGAAAATTTCAAAAAAAATATTTTTTTTTTGATCAACTGAGTTCTTTTAAATCTTTTTGACTATTAACTACGTACACTGTTTCTTTAGACCTCTGGGAATCGTCCAGAAGATCAATTTTTTATGCAATTTTTAGTTTTTTGGCAAAATTTGTGGTAAAAATTAAAAATTTGCAAAAAATATTTTCTAAATCCAAAAATGGGAACCAGTAGCTTCGGTAATAAACTAAAAATATCATAATAACCAATTACCTGAGTAATTAATAACTTATCTCCACTTAATTAATACCCAAACCCATAACACGCCATTTTTTTGATGTTTTTCCCAATTATTAGTTATCTATACACAAAACTAGATAAGAACTTCCAAAACAAGAAATGAAGAACGGAAATAACCCTTATAAGAGGTTTCGTGACACTGTCATACTCATACCTACGTGTGAGTAGACTGTAATTTTATGAGTTTTGAGCAGCGCCCCGCACTGTAGGTACCGTTGCGAGACGCGCATTAAAAACGGGCATCTGCATCCTAGCCCGAATGCCCAAAAGGGCTCCGAATTGTGAAATGTGAAATCCAGCGACGGAAAAAAATTAGGAACGGCTTGCGTGCGTCTCGCAAATATACCCGGCGTAGTCTCGTGCGACGATCAAATTGCTTCGGACCACTACCGCCCGAAATTTGAACATTGACCCAACGTTTATGACGCGACGGATTCTTATCGCTTAATTGTTTCTTTCGGCTCTCTTCCTGACTCAAGAAGACGCAAGAAGGAAGTTACACGCGATTTTAGTTCAAAGTTTAAAATATACCTTATAAAAAAATCCGTTATTTAGCAACAAGAATAAAATCAACTAGTAGATATTCAACAGATACAAAATTGTTGTTGATATCATCAAGGGTTTTTATTTTATTGCATTTATTTCGGGTCTAATGAAGAGCAGAAGTCAACTAAACCGGTCTCATCTTCATCGTGCCTAATTTATTAGCCTCCGTTTTGCTGGTAAACTTGAAAATGCAAAAACAGTTGCCAGCTGATCAGATGAGATCTGATCTTTGATCGTGGACCTTCCGCACGTGCCAATTTTTTTGGAAATTGTTAAAATCGTCATGGCAATAAAAAAATACTAAAGTAGCACTTTATAGTCCAGATAATGAATTTTTAAAAATAAAAAATTTTTTTTTTTGCTAATTTTGTTAATAATTTCAATATTTGAAGGAAAAAAATGTTTTAATTTGATATGTGTGATCATTAAGGTCGAGCTGCCAACACTATTTGATTAATAATGTTATTATCCTACATTATCCACCCGTTCGTAGTGATTGTTTAATCAACACGCAAAGCACGCGCTCGCCGAGCTAATATCAACTAATATCTATGAAAAAGATTATCGTTTATCAATATTTAGTGATTTGTTTGCACGTTGTGCGGATTACATCAAAACACGTGTTTTTCTTGTTGATTTTCTCACAAACAACAAAAAAATATCAAAAATACGAATATCCATATCTAAATTTATCAATATTTCCATATACCTAAGGGTTCTGCTTACGTATAAACTCATCCCTTGAACTGGCTTCACGGTTTCACCCCATCGACGTCATCACGGTGCATCCCTCGAAACCCATCCACGATGAGAATAAAGTGCGCTGGGCGTCCCCGGCGTCCCCAGCTTGGATGGGCCGACAGCGGCGCTTCCTCCGATTGGGCGCGCGTGCCCTGCGCGGTCCGTGCGCTGCCCGCACATTGGCGCGAGGACATCCGCGCGCGTCGGTATGCGGTTCGTCCTTCGCACGCACCCACCGCGACGTCCCGCGCTATCACGATTGCGCGCACGGCAGGGCGCCGCGCGGCTCGCCCTTAGCTGCCCAACGCTCGCCGGTCCGTGGTGCGTGCCGTGGCGCTTTTAGTTCACGCTGGCGACCGTGACGAAGAGGACACGGTGCTAAAACTGACGACTCTGCGCGAAACCTTCATCCTGAAAAATTCACCAAACTACTTTTGACTTAAAAACACTTAAAACTGTGCATCAGCTTCAAGAAGTTCTTCAAGGGCACATTTTCAAGGACATTATAAAAATATTTATTAGTAAGTACATAAAATTTTAAAAATTTTATTAATTTTTCTCTTCCTGAAGTGTTATTAATCTCACTTCATTATTTATTTTCTTTTAAATGCAATCTGCTGTCAATAAATTAAAACAAACAGATCATCAGGTGCATGACTTTAACTTCACAACAAAATTTATCGTTTACTTGATGAAGTGCTCCATATAAATCACCAAAACAAATTCGTAAATGATTTTCAAGAGAAGCAAGAGAAAGTATTTTTGTGCAATCATTTATTATCCCTAGAAATCAATTTATAGCAAAATTGATGATTTGTTGACGTTAGTCAAAAGCAACATGTCGTTATAATGAAGCCACCCATCGAGCAATCAACATATCAACTGAGCAAACTTGCGTCCTTGCTCTTGGGCTAGCGACGGCGTGCGTTTTGAATGCGCACGAAGACGAATACAATTATTCCAACAATCCGAACGCTTTAAATTCCACTTTAATAAACGAATAATAACTAGAGCGAGCTGCGTCCGAAGTTGACTTTGTACGAGTATTTCATGGTAGAAAAGAAGAGACGGAATTCGATTTGTGGACCGCGGAATCGCTGCGATTATCTACTCGTATATGACAATTCAGAGAATGACGTATGACAGTCGGATGGGTCTTGTTGTCTTCTGCTTGCATACGATACATAAATATTAGGAATTTGATTACTTAATAAGCATTTGAGGAAGCGTCATGAATTATTTATGATTATTAGCACTTTTATTTCAAGTAGAAATTTCAATTTATTAAAAAAAGAGATTTTTGGTAATTTAATTAATAATTATTAAATAAAAGTATCTAATCTTCTTTTAACTTTAAAATTGTTTTGATTTTTAATTATTTGGGCAACAAAATATTCTTAAAACGTGTCAAATAAAATAACAATTCAAAAATAACATGAATTGGCGTTGTAAACATTGCAAATCTCGCCGGTATGAAAGATAAATGATAGGAAACGATAGGATATCTAAGATTGGAGTGTATGACCTATGTCTGCAATATCAGACGCTGTCTGGTTTAGTGCAACAGTTAAAAACACTTCATTCCGTCGAATAAAGTTGTTTGCTGCGCGTGTATTTCTGTTGCTGTCCAATTAATTAATTGTTTTCATCTATTACAATGTCCAGTAAGTGTATACTATTTACTTTATTTGATTTTTTTCATTTTAACGACAAGTATTTCTTTAATTTTTACTTTTTTGCGTATTTTTTGAATTATTTACGTTGAAAAACAACAAAATAAGCAAATATTGAAATTTACGGACTGGTATCTTTATTAAACTAAAAATCTCACAATCACTGTATTCTCGATTTAATATTGCTATTACATAGACGATAAATTCATTAGGAAGCAAGTGAAGAGAAATGAAAATTTCACAAATTAGGTATATGATTTACTTAATATTAATTAAGCGACAACAACCCCGCATTCGATGGTTAAGCTTTTTGATATGTGCAAACACGAATCGCATAATGTCCACGCGTATATTACACATACATACAAGAATAAATATACAGAGAGATACGGAAAGAGTAAAATAAAAATCATAGATGTTTGAAAACATTGATGTAATCACAACATAAAAATAAAAATCTGAAATTAACATAACGCATTAGAACACGATCTGACCTTTAATTACACATTCGACATTAATTTGTGGGTATCGGGCGCGCACATTAAAGTCAGAAATACGCAAAATACGCCGACCTATAAACACGCATCAAGTGTATTCTGGCGATTTGACTAATTATTGTTTTTAATGCCAGTAATATGTGCGTAAGCGTACGCTTTAACCGCTCGTAATCAACATATTAACATGGGTTTCCTTTCGGTCCTGCGTTGGAATAACTATTAGAATGCGACAATTTGAATGGCTAACCCATGAATATAATATGACTATAGTAAATCATTAATGTTATGACATTTTGTCATGCATACGGCACATGAATACAGAAATTCGAAGACAAAATCTAAATTAGCGGTTGTGATGCCTTCATTTTTATTTTTGGGATAATGATTGCGCGTATAGGTAATATGTTTTGTTTTCTGCGTTGTTTTTGAGCTTGTGAGTGCTTTTAATTGACTTGTTAACCCGATATTATATGGAACGCTGATTAGGTGTGTACGCTCGTTGTGTACGGAGCTTTTTTTACGATTCGCGAACGCATTTTTACGACTTGCAAATAAAACGAGCGCTTAGGTCACAACTACAACTGCAAGTTCATCTTAACCTACTCATTTTGTGCGTTTGAAACTACAATTAATACGCTGCTATGCATGATTGCATAATGTCTTAAGTAAAATAGTTTCTAACGCTTAAAACGCTTTTTTCAATTATTTGGCAATATTTAAAGGAAAAATCATTTTAAATCAAATTTTCTTCCTAATTTGATTAGTTAATCCATATATTTATAGACTAATCTAAAATTTTATATTTTCTCATATTTTTTCTCCTACAAAAACAGTTTTTCTTTTTTCTAGAAAGAATTTCGTACATTAGTAAATAGTTTGCATCCAAGACATAAAAAACAAAAACATTTCTATTTGCTTTTCCACCTCGAGTGGCGAAACACGACACGATTATTACATTCTAAACATTTTTGGTAGTGTTTGGCCGGTTTTTCGAAATTCTCGACGCGATCTCAACGCGCGATGCCGACACGAGCGTGACGAAAAGTCGTTACAGAACGCGCGTTTTTCGGATGTAAATTGTCGCCCGCGTCGCGCTGTGTTTTCATCCCTTTTCCTATTTCATACCAACATGAGCATATACCCAGCTAAAGCTTACGACGCATTAGATATTCACGCATTATGCAGATATGGAAATTGGGAAATCTTTCCATCAGGCGAGCATTTAATTGGCATGAACGTGCCCAGCGTATAGTTAATCATACATCGCGACACGCGTATATTTTTCCTTTTTTCGTTCGAATTAGCTTAGCTTTTTCATCGATCTTGTGATTATTTCCTAAATGCATCGGGTGGAATCAAGCGAAATCGCTTATTAGGCGCATTTCAGAAATAATCGTATCGCGCGTCGTTTCGATTCGCTTTTCGCTCACCAACTGAAATATTTTTAAACAGGGAGAAAAATTTTGTTCTAGAAAATTTAATAAAAATGTATATTAATATTTGACTTGCGGTATAAATACCGAACATATAAATTTTTGTTATAAATACAATCATAGCAATGTATTGCAAAAGTTATAGTTGAAATAAGTTTGTTTTAAGCATGAAAAAATAAAAAATAATTCTTTTGGCACACTGTATAAGACTTATAGTCATAAAGCGACAACTATAACGCCAATGAGATATGCAAATGAAGCACCAACACCGCGTTCGCACACGCGAATCACACGACCGCACACATTGCGAGCAAATTTCCCTTACGAACGCTATCAACTTGCGTTTTCACCCGGGTTGTTTGTTTAATGCAGGCTAGGCTAGGCGACGCTCTAAGAAATCAAAAATTTCAACCGGCTAAGTGGCTAAATGCGGTCGTAAAAATGTAAATTAAATTTGAATTTTCAGCCCCACATGAGGCAAATCGATTAGCCGAACTGAAAATCATACACAAACGCACAAAAGCATAAATGATTAATGAATCCCCGAGCGTAGTAAATTTTCACTTAAAACTTTTCACATGAGAAATTTCCACCATTTTTCTCACAGCTCCATTTCTCATCGACTGTAGAAAGTTTGACTAAGCGATGGTAATATTTTTTTATTTTTGGTTTTCGTGTAAACGTTGTTTTCTTGACAATTTCGTGTGCGCGCGCGGAAGGCGAGGGCGGTCGTGGGGTACAAGGCAAGTCATAAATTATTAATTAATGGATGTAAATATAAAATGCAAATGAGCGTTATGCGTCGCGGCGTGTAGATGGAGATCGTATTGATGGATAACGTGCGCACGTACCTAAAGCCGCGCTGGTGGTGGCGTCGTGCTTAATTTGCAGAGCGCGAATGCTTAACCTTTAACTAACGACTACCCTTGTCGGGTGGTTTGCCACCTAGTGGCGCTATTAACGGCTCTTGCAACGCCAACGCAAACGACACTCTGGCGACAACCAACTGATTTATTTGTCTTTTTTATATTCATTAGAGAAGACACATGGGTAGATGTCAAATATTTACATAAAAATTTAGTAAAATATTTCAAAATTTTGCAGAAATTTTACAAAAATTAGTTTAATTTTACAAATATCTGATTTTATTGAAAATATTTTGTAAAATTTTGTGTAAATTTTTTGTTTTTTCTTTAAAAAATCTTCTAATTCTTTGTTTTTTTACAGATTTTGAGGTTAAATCCAAGCAGGGATGCCACACACAGGTATGTTATCTTTTTTTAGTAATACTAAAACGTTTTACATCTTACATTTCCATCCACTGAAAAAAACCAAACACCTCTTCAAGTGTGTTCTCCATTTGCAGTAACAACCTATTACGCATCTACCGTTTCCTACACGTGGCGAAAAAAAATGACACGCCATCCTAGGTTATGTTTGGTTATGCGCGAGAATGCGCGTAACGATCGCGGCGCGCCATAAAAACGCCACCTTACACACGCGAACAAAAGCTCGCCTGTCGAACAGTCGAAGCGCATCTCTCGGCATAGTCGATAATAATCAGCTCGCGAGCGCAGATTGAAGCGCTCAGCCTCGCTGGTGTTTAAGCCGTGCACAACTTAACTGTCCATTATGAAGCGCGCATTTATTTATACGCATGCTTAATGCGTATGCAATTCGCGATTTGTGCGCGCTCAACTCTATTAATGGTTCGTTATGTCTTCTCGCGTCGTGACTGTTTTATTAGCTATCGCATCTACGGCGCGAGGATAATTTACAACCCGATACGGTTTCGCGCCTTCTTCCAATTATTCAATCCTACACCAACTCAAGTGATATTATACTTATGCAGTCGTTTAACTACGCTCAAACTTTACCACGACTGTCTAATTAAGGTGTAGATGCTCAAGTCAGAAATCATTAAATCGATAAAAATTGAATAACTGTATTATTTTAGTATTTGAGGTAGGCAACTCAAAATACACATTAGTAAAAATTTACAATTTTTGTTTTTAAAATTAAATTTTTTAGTAGATAAGAATGATTTTACGTTAGAAATGAAACCTGAGCGTCCTAAGTAGAAATTCCTATGCGTTTGTTATGCGAATAATAATTGCGTTCACAGTGTTCGCACATCCCTGGCGTTGATCTTCGACCTTTGCGCCGCGTCGTATTCGTTTTAGTTGCTCCGCACTCGATTGGCAATCACGTCTGGCACGTTGATTTTTGCTTAGAAAGTTAATAGAATGAGGGATTGTAAAGTTTTTGCGCGCGCTGCGTATCGAACCGGACTGTAACAAACGTCCGAGTTAACACTTAACGGCCGAAACAATCTCATTCGCATACGAAACGCACATCGCTGAGCGCGAATCTTCTAGCAAATCCCAGGCGAACATATACATAGGTCCAGTATTATATTGATGCTTGATGGACAGTTATGTCTCTCGGGGCGACGCTTTTACGACGCGCGCTCTCCGCCAGGGGGAGCGGCGGGCGAGCGACGGCCATGATGCCAATACCGTGTCACATTAAAACGATTCGAATGAACAAGTGACTCGCAGACGATCGTGAATCATTAAATAAAAGCAAGAAACGTTATGTTCTTTTCATTATTTACAGCTATGGATAGAAAAACAATAAAGCTTTAAATTGAAATCTGCTGTTTTGCTTGGGAAAAAATCCTACAATCAGCGTTAGTGTTGAAGTGATTGTAACGCGTTATTTTTCCGTGTTTTAATCATTTTTTGTAATTTTCTGTGGGTTTGTATTACGTGTCACGTGCGGGGGTAGTTTGGGGGCGCGCAACGTGAGTAATTGCCATGCTGCGCGACAAATTTGCATATTTTAAACAACCGTGCGACCTTTTTGAGCGGTTTTGCTGTTTCACTACGCACAGGGTCGATTAATAAGCATTTATAAGCTACACTAAACCATGCATCATGTTATTAAACTCAGTAGTGACCATGAAAGACGAAAGAACAAAAAACGTAGCGGTTAATTACCAATAATTAAATTTCTTTGTAAAAATCCAGAATAAATAGTGTTATTTATTGGTTACAATCACAATCACAATTCGCAATTGTTTCGTTTGTTTCTGTGTGTCTTTTTGTCTTTTCTTCTATTGCGTAGTTAGCTGCACGCTTCTCGTACGGTTCGAAATGGTCAATAAATCATGGCATCAATTTATTGACGGTCAAAGCTCCATGCATTGCAGTTCCAACAGTTTCCTCATTAGAATTTGCAATTTTCAGTTCAGTCTAGCGCGCTCACGCATTTAAACTAGGAAAACCGACGGCGAGCAATGCGGATGACACGGTTTGCTATGTTACTCGCTAAATGAACAAGAGAATTCATTTGGTAGCAATTATTTCAAGTTAATTTAGACTTTAACAAAGGTCATTCTGACAATTTGAACTTAAGAATGGTATGTTTCCGTTACTACCATCATTCTAGACGGGATATTAAAATTTTTCTGCAAAAAATGGAATTTTTTGATTTTTAAGCGAAAAATCCTTAAAAATTTAATTAATTTATAATATTTGGCGTTTACGAAATATTTAATATTTATTATTTATAATATTTATTACGGTTATTGTAATTTGAATTTATTTCGCTGAATTTTTATTTTTGAACCAAATTATGTCCAATTTTCAGCCGAGTTTTACGTAATTTGCTTCAATTCCGAGATCTCAAGACAGTGAAAAGTTCGACAACGTATTAGACTCGGCGCTCAGTTTGCAGTTGTTTAGCGTCTTTGATGCACCGCATAAAAACGCTTTTGACGTGCATCACCTGCCATGCCTTTACGTTGACTTCGGCTGAAGATCTTCGCGCACGAGACCAAAATTATGCGCGTTTATAAAAAAAAAACTTTGTATGCGCACATGCCAAGTCGCACAGATTGCGTTTGAGCGAGTTTAAGCAAGTTTGCTTAAACGTTAATTACGCGCACACTTACGAAGACAGAAAAAAGTTGAGTTTTTTTCTTTTCAAATTAACTAAGACTCACAGCCGTGTAGCAATAACAACGATATGATACGGATATTTAAAGACATTACAAAAAGTTCGCATGCGCAATATGCGGGACAATCTCAATTAATTGGCATTTGAGTTTTTCAATCATCATCATTTCCTGAAAGAATTAATTTCTTCATTAAAAAGAATGCGATTTTTAATTTTAAGTTTCAGCTGCTCAAATTTTAATAAAATTATTTAAATAAAACCAAATATTAAACAAAAATATTTGCTATTTTTTTTATTAGAAAAAAATGCATAGACATTTACTAAAAGCAGGTGATACGTGCAATTAGTACATCTTAGATCTCTTTTTGGGCAGCAAAGCAAGAAATAATCACATGTGATGGGCAAAAAGTCGTTAATACTTTTATAGTTTTAGTTTGCGATATCTGCGACTGCCTAATTCTTTTCCTTTTCTTCTTTCTCGGCAATTATTCGGCTAATATTAGAAAATTAGTTCTGCGGCTCAAGTTGCTTGTCAAGTTGAAGCACGCGACTCATAAAAAGTTCTTGCTTTTAGTTTTGCAGCGGTTGCTGCAACCGTAACCGAAAAAAACGCCGCGCAGAAAGGGCTTTACCGCAATTATTAACAAATCAAGTCGTTCCAACAACTCGGTTTCGGTTATGGAATTTAGTACTCCTTTGAGGTGCTCTACAGCTACACCTGTACTCAGTCATGCTATCTCTAGTCGTCATTTTTTTGCTTTTTCCAAATGCGCAATGTGTGTGTTTTTCCTTGTGTATGCTTTAATGACTCAAATCAAGTGTTGTCATTTTGTACCAAAACAAAAACGTGTAATGTGTAAGGTGTGCGTAAAATTTCAGCTGTCGTGCAAATTACATTTCTTTACTTTAAGGTACTTTTAAAGGAGATAAATGAACATTTGGTTACAAAATAAATTTTGTTGCAGGTCAAGCGGGAGTTAATCAACTCGGTGGTGTATTTGTCAACGGCCGCCCACTGCCCGACTGCGTGCGGCGACGGATTGTTGAACTTGCGCTACTGGGCGTGCGCCCTTGTGACATCTCACGACAACTTTTAGTCTCACACGGGTGCGTTTCGAAGATTTTGACTAGATTTTACGAGACTGGATCAATACGACCTGGGTCCATCGGTGGATCAAAAACTAAAGTAAGTTTTAATGCTTTTATATTATTTTATATTAAAAATCTAGCTTACAGAGTAGGCCACCCAAATTACACTTAAAAAATTAAATTTTTCGTGTTTCTAATATAAAAATGAAATAAAAATATACCAACTTCATATCCTTTAAGCAATTTGAGCATAATTGTGTATTGTGCACGATTAACTTATTCATTCCTGGTTGAAGGTAATGAAGTGTTAAACATAAACGTGAATACCCACATTTAATACCTTGCTTATTATCTCACACGCGTATTCAAGTTGCTCTGAAGGCATTCGAGTCTCGTGAGACTCGAGTGTGGTGAGCACGCCTATAAAAGGTGTTAATTGACTTGGAAGTGGTGGCGAGCTGGCAAGTGCGCACGTTTAATTCGATCAGGCCCTCGGACGCGTGCTGTAAAGTGAAAATGCGAAAACGGTACGTGATGGATGATTTATAAGTCCTTTTTGCGAATATATACATGCATATAATTTATGATTGAACCACATAAGATGATCGAATTTATCGTATTTATAAAGCTTCAGGCAATACTGTATCATAAATTTAATTATTAAATAGTATTTTTGGTTACATACGAAATTGCAGTCACGTTATGACCTCTAATGTAATCTAATTGCTTAATTACTTCGGGGATTAGGAGACCACTTTGTTCTCGTTAAAATAAAATTGACACGAGTTGTATTACCAGGAAAAAGAAATAATTTTGTTTGACATTTAATTATATCATTATATCTACGTGGAAATAATAGGGGTTTAGGGTAAAATTATGAAAGTGATATTGATTTACACCAAAATAATTCAAATATCACAAATAAGAATTTATTTTAATCTCAATTGCTTGAAAGAATTATTGGTTGATTGAAATGTAGACCAATTCCGTATTGCAGCAAGTAGCAACACCGACAGTGGTGAAAAAGATCCTCCGCTTCAAACAAGAGAATCCCGGAATGTTCGCCTGGGAAATTCGTGAACAATTGGTCTCTCAACGTGTCTGCGAACCGCACAACATTCCCTCAGTCAGCTCAGTCAACAGAATTCTACGCAACAGCGGCGCATGGCCAGATCCACCCGAAATTCTACATTCAAATCGCCATCAATCACAAGGTACGTTTTGTATTATTTCCAGAATATGTTGTTTTAATTATTTAAAAGACTAATTGCTAACAACATTGTCTGCATAAATAAACCGGCTGTTGAGAGTTAAATTTATGAGCAGTTATGAAGACATTATATCACGATCGAAAGCAATCCGACCATCGGAACATTCACAACAAACCGGAAGTCATATATTTTTAAATACGTCGCCGCGATGACGTTTTATTGCACAGACTTAAAGAGTTAAAGTCAACAAATTATTTTATAAATTACTTTCGAGCCAACTCGGATGTGTTACCTGTCACATTAACTTTATTTATTGTTTAAAATTATTTCATAGTTAAATCTGAAAATTAAATTTTCAGAAGCTGTTTTACGAACATCAGACGTCTACAACCCATCTTCGAAACCTCATCATAATCAAATGCAAGCAGCGTATTTCTTAGACGCGTCTCAGGCGTATCACAATAATCGCTTAGCATCTCTGCATCATCAACTGCACATAGCAACCACCGCCGCCGGGAGTGTACACGCTCCGCCCCCGCCTTCTTCCTTCTCCGATGTAATGTCTTCTTCAATGGGGAGTATCCCAGCAACGTGGTCAAATCTAATCATCCCTTATCACCACAATGCGTCTCACAGTAATAATCATCCTGAAAGTCATAATTCTGCACCGCGTGAAAGTGATGTTGATGTAATTGTTGATGACGCTGACTCAAATAATAAACATGATGAGGATGATGATCATGAAATTACAATAACAGATGATGAAAAATTATCGCCTGAAATCTGTGGGAATCATGCAGGGAAAAAGCGAAATCCTTATTCGATTGAAGAATTATTAAAGAAAACACCTGTAAAGAAGCCTAAGGTTGTGTATAGTCCCATTGCACAAGTTATTGAACAACCAATTGGTACATTAATCAATCATCAAAGTATTAGTGTTGATGCAGCGGAAAAAGTCGAAAAACAAAAAGCAGAAAGTAAAAAGATTAAAAATGAACATTAATAGGAATTAATTCGCTGAAAAACGCCATTTTTAATTTATTACTTTATTTTTTACACGCGGGATAATATACAAATGAGTATGGAAATTAATATACAAAACTTATTCATAAAAAAAGTGTGGTAAAGCATGCGTTTCAACACGAAAAGCTTAAACTCACTAACAAAGCGTTTTACCTTTGACAGTTTTGCCTCATTAGTTTCATTAGACTTTTCCACGACTTTTTCCATCGGTGAATAAGAAACGGAATAAAGTTTTTCATTAAATTGCCCTTGCAAGCAGTGGCGAGTTGGCAAGCTAACGAAATGAAAAGTAATCGCTTCTTTTTCTTTTTTTCTTTGCGCATATTAATTGCTTTAAATTAGTTATGCAAATTTATGACTTCATAGAGCCGGAATTTAAGCACTTTTTTGCTTTTCGTGTAGCTGCGATTCTTATTTCTTTATTTATATTATTGTATATATAAATTTATCATAAATTTAAAACTTAACCTAAAAAATTAAGGAAAATAACCAAAAATTTGGCTAAATTATTTTGAATTTTAAAAGAATCAAGTGTTGCATATCTATAACTGTATTATATTAGTGATAATAATTATGTACATATATTTATTTACGTTTTTTGTTTTTCTGTTGTTCTTCTTCTTCTTCTTCTTCTTTTGTAGGCATATTGCCTGTTCCTACTTCAGACAGGGTTTAGGTGGTCGCTCCATCTCTTTCGGGGTCTTCCCTTTTTCTGTTGTTGAAACAACTTAATAACTTATGACGAAAAATAATAATAAGCTGATATGAGCAAGGCCTGCATCATTTTAGCTAATAAAATTGTTTTTCGGTTTTATTTGCATTAAAACTACATGAATATTAAAAAAATTAAAAAAATTATTTGTGAAAAATATAAAATCGCTATAGCTGCATGTAAATAAAGTGTAAACTTGTCGTTAAGTAATAATTATATATTGATAAATGTTAACAACTAAAGTCATAAGTCTTAAAATGTCAGACTTGAACCATACTTGAATGTATTTGATGAATGTACAAAATATTCTCTAATTACTAACAAAATTCTTTTGAACCTGATGTATTAGTACGAATAATATTGTATAAATTACCAAATTGTTTTTATTCCTCGATGTGTTGCTTTATTCGCTTCAACATTTAATTATCGTCGGCATGTATTTTGTTTTATTGTGTTTTGATGAGTCGCAGGTAACGTGTGATCGAAACTGATAAGCATTGTGACACTCAATGCTCGAAGGGCGTACAGCTATACCCTGTGCAGGGTGAAACGTGGAGGACGTTCCTAACGAGCCAAACGAGCGATGCCCCACAGCCGTAAACGCGACACGCACGCAATTGCCCATCGTCGTTTGTTTTCTGTATTCTTTTTTTTGTTGTTTATTCGTCGATTGTCATTTGCTGTCGGGTATTGCTGGGAGAGCGCATCGGCAAATGACGGCGGGCGGCGTTCCGTTCATGCGATCGCGATGCTTATCTGCGTGGTGGCCGGCGATATTTTGCTCTTTTGCGTTTGCGGCGATGAGGCTAATCGGACAAATTGATCGCGCGACCCCTCTAATGCGCACGACAAAAGAGGGTAATTGCTGGTGGTGCCGACGAGAGGGTGTCGCTACCACCGGACGATGCAGGTTGTGATAACGCCTCGGGAGTCTCGCGACTGAATCGAATCGTGTAATTACGTAATAATAGATAATACCGTTTATAAATAAATAGAGCACCGAATTAAAATGCAGAAAATAATTCTGGTTTTAATTTTTATTAAATATTTTTATATATTTTGTACAATTAATTCGTTTTTTGATAAATTTTAATGTTCTAAATGATAAAGTGATGTTTTTTATTTAAATTTATAGCGTATTTAGAGTAAACAATTTGCGTCATTCAATTTTATTGTAATTATAAAGAAAAATACGTGAAAATGTACATTTAACAAAATAATGTCAATCACAATCACTAAAATTGAATAATGTTCCTTTTTTCGAACCACAATATTCAATAAAATACATGATTTACTTAGGAAATTAGTTTTTGGACAGTTATTGATTATTAAACAGTTGTTTTTTATGCAAATATTAAAACGTTAATTATTCATAGTTTATCTAGTTCCATGCATTTTCATATAAATAGTAAGAATTAGTTCAGAACCATTCACTTTACAGGGACTGCTCAAAATGAAGTCATTCAAAGTAGCAATTTTGTTTTGTGCAATCGTGGCTGTTCAAGGTAAATTCTTTTAGTTTCCAATTTAACATTTAAAGAAAATTTTTGTAATTTTGGTTGTCTATATTTACAATTTGATAACAAACTAAAAATGTCTTAATTTTAGGCCGTGCTCGTCGGGATGTAGCTGAAGCTGTAACTGAAGATGGAGGTACAGAGATCCCCATCTCTCAAGTACCCTACCAAGCCGCCATGTTGATTAATGGCCGTCTCTCCTGTGGAGGAAGTATCATCGCTGACCGTTGGATCCTTACCGCAGCACATTGCGTCCCTGGAGTGACTACTTCTCAAATGCGCATCCGTGTAGGATCTGCTGATTCTCTAAGTGGTGGACAAGAGCTCCGAGTCTCTCGTATCATATCTCACGCCAGATACAATTCCCGTACAATGGACTTTGATGTCGCTTTGGTTCAAGTAAGTTCCAGCATCACTCAAGGCAGAAGAATTTCACTGGCTAACACTGAACCTGCTGCTGGAACAACAGTGAAGGTTAGCGGATGGGGCGCTATGCGTTCTGGTGGTCAAGTTACGAGGACATTGAGAGGTGTAGATGTTTCCATTGTTGCTAGAAGTACCTGTGAGAGGAATTATGGTACTGGTGAGATTACTCGCAGGATGATCTGTGCTGCTCGTGATGGTAGGGATTCTTGCCAGGGTGATTCTGGTGGTCCTTTGGCTTTGGGTAATTCCTTGGTTGGTGTTGTTTCTTGGGGACAAGGTTGTGCTCAAAGAGGATACCCTGGAGTGTATGCTAACGTTGCCAATTCTGAGATTAGACAATTTATTAACCAAAATGTCAATTTTTCTTAAACACAATGAAATAATTATAGGTTAATGCAAGCAGAATTTTTATTTTATTTATTTTAAAAAAATTTCCTTTTATTATTATTCCCTTTATCGTAAATAGTATAAAAGTGTAAGATAAGTTAATTATTTATGGTCGAATAACAGGGTCGAACTTATTTGGATAAATTATTTTGAGTCGAAAGACAAAGTCGAACTTTTTTGGTAAAATTATTTTCTGTCGAAAGTCAGGGCCGAACTTATTTGGATAAATTATTTTGGGTCGAAACACAGGGTCGAACTTTTTTGTTAAAATTATTTCAGGTCGAATTACCGATGAAAAGATTTTGTCACAAAAAAATCAAAACATTTCTCTTTTTTATGTCCGATGTTAAAAGTTGGAATTTTGAAATTCTGTTTGCAGATTCCAAACACACTAATAATTCTTATCAATAAATCTTAGTAACATTTTTTAGAATAATGTTTCGTTTACGCCCTAAAATGAATTTAAAGATTTTATTCCAGTGAAACTCACGTACACACTATTTAACGTGTATCTTTTGAACCATTAGTCTAATTACAAATTGTTATTAAAATAATTTATTAATAAAGTTGTTTTCTTTGATAATCAGTAATAAAAAATATCGATTTATCAATTTCCTGAAAAATTAAATTAATTAATAAAAATTTGGCGGAGGCGCCTGACATTTTAATTAACGTTTGAAAATTTATTTTAAAACTAATTATACTATTGAATAGAGTAGCTTTTAATTACTTTATTTACACAACTTCCTGTTTAGTAGCACTAGAGATTTGCCCTGTAGAAGAATTTAATTGAAATGTGTACTTCCAGTCACACTTAATTATCGTTTATCTTGAAAACTAATGTAGATAATCAAAAACGGAAAACGAGATGACGTTCAGCATGGAGTCTTAAATAAGATGACATTTAAAAAAATGTAATTTTCAAGAAGTGAAAACTGATTTTCCGACGCGATTTTCTCGGAAACTAGAAAAGTTAGAACAAAACTATTTGCATTTTCTTCATGTCGTAACAAGCGTCTACAAAATGGCAGATTTAGTTTTTTGATTCTATGAAGTTGACCAAACACCACTCAAAAATCATCAAGAGGTTACACTTGACTATTTCTTGGCCTAAAAAATCAAAACAAAGCTAGAAGAAAATGGAAAACGACAATTGATATAGAATTACAATGCGATGAAAGATATCAAGTCAGTTTTTCGATATCATCAATATTTCGGAAAAATCGGTTGAAAATTGGTACAGCCAAAAATGAACCACTCCTCGCTTTTTCTTGAAACTTTCTAAACATGTGCAGAATGATGCCAGGAATCCATTTTTTCAAGTTGCGTTTCCATATCTTAATTAGTTTTTGAGTTATTAACCATTTTCAATAATTACGTAAGTGTTGAAATCTAAAAATTTTAAAGTGCAGTATGTTGTAAAATTTTATCCTAAATAGGAATCTGAAAACCATTTTTCTTTAACTCTAATTGTTTGCAAAAAAAGTGCAAAAAACTAGTTTATACATTTTTTCCATCATTTGTGAGGCATAAAATAAAAATTTGAAATTTCATATTTTTATTGCAGATAATTGAAGAAAACATTATTTTGAATACTTTATCTTAATTCTATTTTGTTATCAGATTGATAGTTTTGATAATAATCACAATAACTTGTCAGATATTGGTCACTTGTTTCGCGGGCTTAAAATTTAAAACACACCACTGAAATGACATTAAAATAGTTCCTAACTAGGCGTACTCTTACTAATTCACCAACTTCTTCTTGTTTTATTTTATTTTTCTTTATCTTAATTTTTTAAATAAAAAAATGCAGATTTGTCTTTATATTTAAGCTTCGCCATACACCTGTATCTGGAATTTGTGTATGTTTGGTTGCCTATATACTTACACTGCTTGCCTGGTATAATTCGTAACTTAATTCGTAATTGGTTTTAATAATAAGTACACTATATTAAATTAAATTTCATTCTTTATTTTTATAAACATAAAAAAACATCAAATATAAATAAAACTAACAATTATAATTTAATATTGACAAATTAAATTAAATTAAATATTATAAACTGTCAGTACAATACATAAGAGTACAATCAATAATAAAATTCAAAAGTCTTACTGTACATTATTAAACTATTTTTAAGTAGTGTAATAATTACATTCCAAAATAAACATAAGTTTACAATGTGTAAAAGGCATGAGATAAATAATTGCATTATGTAAATGCGTCAAGTACGCCTGAAACAATCTATAATACACAATGCAAATGTTGGAGTGCTGCAGAGTAGCTGGCGGTATTAGTTAATTAGTTAATTAATTAGTAATTGTGATTGTGATGCATGGGATGGTGCGGATGAGAGTAATGCCCGCCGTGCGTTGACCGCGGCACGGTGCGTTGGGAAAACTGCGAGTAGGTGTCGTCCTGTGCTGGATGCATCATGAGAACCGGGTGAAGGTTCAAGGACTTGCGGGATCCAGCCACGCTGCCGGTATCGTTCACGAATGCACCATTCATTTCACCTACAAATAAAAATTAAGTTAAAATTTGAAACAGTTCAGATACTGAACACTAGGTGCCGCCACTTTGTTTAAATATTACCTTTGAATAAACTTGCCGGTGCATATTGTGGATCAGGTTGCAGGCGAATATGTCTCGTTGCCAAAATGAACGCCAATGTTGATAAAATAACAGCATCCAGACAACCAATGGCCGCCAATAAATAAGCCCATCGAATACCACATATTCCCAGCTGGAATTGATTGCTATCCATGCAAATTGACTTGATTTTCTCGTCGTTCCATCCAAGAGGGAAAACCGAGCAGCCGATTATCATACAGATTGCTAAAACAACATTAATATATTAATTAAATGTATTAAAATCAAGAAAAAATGAATAAAATATACAATTTCCTATTTTGTTACCAGAATTAATTTCAGTTATTATTATTCTACAGTACTCTCTCTGAATGTACGTGAATGAAAGTGATTTCCTTTGATTTGCGCTTCGAATCGATAAAATCAATCATCCGTAGTAAATTGAAAGTTCATTCTAGCTGATATCGATAAATTAACGTCGTTATTGTGGTTAATGAACGCGACGGAAATGCAAATTGTACTAACTACCGAATGCACTACATTTACAGATTGCAATAAGGAAACCAAATCCTATTTCAAAGCGTATTAAAGTGTATCGATTGGTTTTCATTTCTACTCCTCCTCTTGATCAACAGATACAAATTGTAATGGATTCCAGAAGAGAAATGATAAATCACCGTTAATTAAACCATGTCTAATCGGATTAACTAATTCTCAATCTCATTTCTGGAAATTTGCTGATTTTGTTAGTAATTATTAAGTGAAATTTATTTTGGTTGTGCGAGTTTTATTAGAAAACATTTAAATTCATGGTAGAAATGATTTGATTGGTATGCAGATGATGCGACACTCGTTTAAATCCAAGTCACACGTTTCACATTTTCTCACACTGACGAAAAAATGTCTCCGCGTGACAGTTTTCACTCTTCATCAACGAAGCAATAAAAATACAAAAGTAGATCCTTAAT